TACCAACAGTCTCCTTGAACAGATATTTTCGCTAAGCTTGGGGACTACTCCATTGAGATCATCATTAGTTGTTCGCTTCTGCCTCCTGACACCAATTACCTCGAGTAACATTCTACTGTCACAGCTGTCAATTTTCTTTTTTCTCCAGCACGGATGTTAATGTCCAGGCTTCACATTAATCGAGTAGTACTGATTAAATAGGAGCCACGAAAAGCTGTAATTTAATGCATTTATTCACGTTGGTACACCAGCTGTTATGAAGTACTTTCTAGACATGGTGTCTTTGCCTGTGCGGTCAATCAAATACCCCTTATGTTTGAAGTCATGCACTCTGTCTGTCAGGTGTTTTGTCCCACTGCTTGTACTTGGAGGCCTAGCACTGTCAGTCATGTTGTGTGCTGTATTCTTGGTCTTCCCAACGTTCAGCCGTAGGTCTTTGGAATTGTCACTTTAACCTGTAAAGAAGCATGTGTTCTTGACATCTGTTCGGAGTCGTCCGCGGGGTCAAGATCAGTAAGCAGCGCAGGGCCGACTCTCCGGCTAGGGTTGATTCTGAAGCCAAGTTCCTCTTCCCTGCCATAGACAGCCTGCTTCATTGCATAATCCAGTACGATGATAAAAACAAAATTGTGCTAGGACCATCCTCAGTACACCTGCAGAAACGAGCAAATCCTCCATTTTACCCTCAGGATATACTACCTTGGCCTGTCACTTGTGGATTGAACCAGCTACGATGCTACCGATGCTAGACAGCTAGAATTTTCATCATCTTCCTTCTGTATGAGGAATCAAACGCCTTTTTAAAAAGGTTTTACTATTCCTTCAGGGAGTTTGTCCTGTACTCCTTCAATCACCCTCTTTAAGGCAAAATCTGGGCTACAGTCTCCTTCTCTTCGACACCTTTTTAATCACCTGTGGATTGATCCGGCTGAGGTTTTGTTATTATGTTGTAAAGTTCAGCAATGACTTATTCCCCTGTAGCTAACTGTTTTGCTTAGACCCCCTTATTATAGTATTGGGAGATATGTTCGATAAAGACCACTGCTCTGGATTTTACCTCTCCGTGTGGGCTATATTGGACACAGAAAGAATATCGCTGTAAAATAACAAAGTATAACAGGCATTATTTCATCGGGACCACAACACATATCTTGATAGATTCCGCCGCATTCTCAAGCTCTAAGAGGCCAGAGATTCATAGTCAATATTGATATTGTCAAGCACAACCCAGATTTCATTTCATAATTAGTTATCACATAAGGTGACTAGAATGGTTGTACCAAGCCTTGAACGTGTGGGATTTTTTTTATCCCTTCCAGTTTCCCAGCTTGGCTTTTTTCTGCTACCGGTAACTTTTTTATGATGTTTCAGGATACACTGAGCTTCTGGTTGGCATATTCAGCTTAGCCTGCCCTTTGATCATTACACTAATTTATTCGTCTATCTGCTTGTAATAATCGTTTTAGAGTTTTGACTATGCAACTTTTACAAGTTATCTGTTCTCCTCACTCACGTTATTGATTTAGTCAAAGTATGCTTTAGCCATATTATCCAGTGTCCCTTGAATTTTGGATGTTTGGAGTGTTGCTGTTCTGCAAGTGAACATGTGCTTCCTTATCTACCTTATTTGCATGGATGAAACGTCACAATCTCATGGTTAGACACTTGTCATCTGGAACCTGGTATTCTTCTCCACACTGTATCGCTGTTCGAGTTCAGTCTCCGTCACGATTGCTTTACAGTCATGCTTTATCTTCTTTGACCCGATCATACTGAGGAGATCTAAGAATGATTCTGATTATCAAAGATAGTAGGGCCTACAGTTCTGTGATCGTGACAGACGCTTGAGAACTTGTTGTATATATCAACATTCAAAGCACCGTTCCGCCATTTTCCTCGTACTAGGATATAATCCAGCTGATATTTGATACTTATGGCTGATATGCGTCCATCTCTTACCTGCTTGTGTTTAGGCAGCTTGGAGCTCTTGTTCTTGCATCAGATTAACCATCATTGTATTCCTGATCTAATTAGTTTTTATTGTGGAATGGGAATGCTAGATTTTTATAAAACGGGCATATATATAAGTTGTCTGTGGGTGCAATGTTCACTGCTCCTCTCAGATCATTATTAAACTATGGTCAAGACGGGTTGGAGTCCGGATACGGATAATTACCCGAGCCGAATCAGGATTGCCTTTGAATGATGTTGCTATCTTTCGTTCTGTTAACAACCATGATTTCACCTCATAATGCCTATTCCACTAATTGGTGCCTGGGTCACGTTCCGATATACGCAGATAAAATAACGAGTGATTGCGCTGACACTTTGCTGAACCTCAGTATTTCATCGTGCACAATTCGGCGTTCCTGAATTTTTAAGATTTCAATATCCCTGGATATAAAGTTTTATGATAGCTCCTCAGCTCTAGTATCTTCCATGATTGTGCCGAAATGTATATAGCTGATATTAGGAGTAACAATGTAAGCTTTGACCCTCCTACGATACAAGAACTAAATGGTCCTGGTCGCACAAACACCATCGGGATGAATGAGTCAACCGTGATCTGGTCTTATGGTGCGCCAAATACGTCAACGACCACCTAATTGGTCTGCTAAATCTACCCTGTGGCACTTCGGATATTTCCTAGCTGGGAGGAAGCAGATGCTTGGGTATAACATCTGCAGAAGCTCTCTATTTAAACAAGCGTCTCCAAGAATCAGACGTCATATACTGGTGTCATGTCTTTCCCTGCGGTGGTGTGTTGCAGAAATCCTACGTGGACATTGTCATCAAAAGTAAACCTCGAAGGTAATTGCAGGGGTTCTATGAAAAAGGGGCTGTGCCCGTTGCTGATCTATGATAGGGTGCGTTTGGTCGGCATTTCTAACAATCAGTTGCAGCTTCTGACCTACCTCCTAAAGCATTCAAAGTCACACAGTGCTGAGTTGAAATTACATATGACGACAGTGGAGCTGTTTCGGTTGGAAAAGGAAGAGTTGGGCTTACATAAGAAATACTTACTTGGAATATTTCGATCCAACAGCATTCAAGGATGTGACATTTCAGGTCGTATGTACTGATACAGCAATGAAGAGAGTAGGATAACACCGTTATTAACAGCTGGCGAGGGATCTGTATTTCATAACACTTCGTAGTGTAGGGGTGTATATAAGTACGAATACATATTTGTTTTCTTCAATTCACAACGACGGAGTGATTGGATGGTACGGAGCCATTCAGTTGCGTTGGCAATCTGTCGACAGAACGACTTTCTTTGCACAACCTTGTAAAAAGACCTGTCACATCGTACGCCACATCCAATGACAAGTCTTTGTTCTTTTGTGCATTAATTAGTATACCCTTTGGGCTTCCAATTATTTTTCCCCTCGGGTTCGGGTAGGGCGCATCGTGCAAGGGGTTGGCGTATATTATTACTCCGATCATATCTTTGAAGGTTTGTATATTGCTTTTGGAGATCTATTGAGATTTGTCTTGCTTCTAGTCGGTAGTTGAATTCAAGTCGTATGGACTTGGTGTAAATTTAGTGTAGAGCCATGCTTTGTTAAATTTGCATGTTCTTTTGGGTGATGGGTAATCTTATCGCAGCCTGTGTTTTAGGTTCAAGAACCGCACTTCTGATAAATGCCATTGTTATTATGTACGTTTTCATTCTCTGGTTTGATATCATTATATTTTGAACTAGCTACATATAATGTTTATCGTTCTTGATATTAAAAACAAACAAAGAAAAGAAGCCGTCAAATACATTAAACTTGTAAACGGGTTAAAGTCTTTGACACTTTAACTGCACTTTTACATGGTGTTTAATTTTTTCTAAAATACGGTTCAAATAATACCTGCTTTGTTCTTCTTGCTCTGTACTAATATTACAGCATTACAAAGCTAAATCATCAACTAAACGTTATATTGTCTAAATATTGTAATATGTTCATGTAGCACCATACATAATAATGATTGGAAAGCCTATTTCCTGAACTACTTTTGATGAAAAGAAAATACTGAAATCACTCAATCCGTTCAAAAAATCACCATTTAAACGTCATGACCCTAAAACATGTTTCGTGAAAAAAGGAAAATTTAGTGTGCATTTAGACTGTTTAGAACCACAAAGAAAATGACACAAAATAATACTTGTTTGAACAACTGTCAACAACTGCAGTACACAATATCTTTATAAACAACCCTGGTTAGGCAAACGGTATGATTAATACTATCCTCTGTTTTGAAAGACGGGCCTTGAAAAAGTACTTTGTTTGATATTTTTAACTTTTAAACAGAGGTTTTATCGCAGGTGATGTTTGAACACAATGTGTGACGACAATTCTTGAAATTGCATTTTTGGACGAAAGAGGTTTTAGGGTTATTGTATTTAAACGGTGATATTCTTTTAATGGATCTAGCAATTTCAGTATTTTTGCATCACATGGAAGCTTATGAAATTGGCTTTCCAGCAAATATTATGTTTGGTGCTAAAGATGTTACTCACTTTGTATAAAGTGGAACAATGGTTATACGTGTTAAAGGACATGAAAGTGGTGTTGGTTTACCAATAGGTCACGTAATGTAAGTCGTATGTTGGCTCTCTAACTTTTCAGTAACATTCTTTGATGTGACCAGTGCATGTTTCTCGAAAACAAAATATGGTAGATTCGACCCATCGAGTTACCTAAGATATCATGTTTAGTTGTTGTTGTAAATATAGTGGTACTGTTTAATCACTTTTTAATAATTAATAATAAGTATTATTCGCGTTTCAATGTATGTAAGGAATCTTCATTTTTATTTGAGTACAACAGTATGTGTAATATCATATTCTTTATTTCACTTTTCAGCTATTAATCATAATATAAAACTCCAAATAAGAAGTCATTTGTTCAGTCGTATACATTTAACAAGAAAATAACGGCGAAGGTCTTAAAATTTGGAAGGAAGTGATTCTTAATGTTCACACAAACATTTTGATAGAAGTGAAATTGGAGAAAAAAAAGCTTACCGATGAGGAGTATAATTCTTAATATTCAGTTTGCGAACCATTGGCTATCACATTGATATCTATATTTTGTCTCTGGTCTATAAATAAATCACATTGTTAGTGATATAAAACTGAAAAAGAAGTACCATGCACATCTAAACACATAACACACAGTATCAAAAGCTTAACTGTACAAGTCCGTTTTGCATTCAAACTCCTTTTGGCTAAGACGAAGGCCTACGTGCAACTATTTGACCATAATTCTGTTGTGCTTGATGTTAGTATCACCTTGTGGTCCAAACTTGAAAATTGATTATTACTAACGACGTTCAAGCAAGGTGCAGATTTAGATGACAATTTCTGAAGGACTATTTCTACAAAGCTATTTCCTCAGTGGGTCATTGTAACTTTCCTTTGCCTGATTTTTTACACCTAGTTTTACACTCTTCAATCAGCGCGTTGCTTTTATAATAAATCTTGCAAATGGTGGGGAACAATTCCAAGTCCTGTACAGTTCTTTGCAAGCCAAGTGAACCACACCCTCATGATCCGTTCCTCTTTCACCTAAACGTTTCCTTCAGTCCATTAACAAACTGTTCATCCCGCCTTTACAGGCATGAAGTCGCTTCAGAGGCTGGAATCAAGACTAAACCGCGGTCACTGAACTGCTTTGATTGCTAGTAACGTTGCTGTCTGTTCGTGCCCTCGCCAGAGCAGCGTACAGCACTTCGGTTGAATTCGTAATTGGACGTTTACTTTGCTTGCTCTGCTTCTTCTTGCTGCGTATGTACATGAAGGCGGCGACGTTGGCTATGATCACGGCAACCACGATACCCGTACCGACGAAGAGCGTCTCACTTGCCACCCAACTGGAGACGTTTGTCTGTTTGCCTGTCGGCTTCTCTGATTTTCTGAGCGGTCGTAACGTTGGACCTGTTGATGAAAAGACGAAAAGGTGATTTAAAATAGATTTAACTACAATCAGGAATTGGTACCACGCTGCAAACGAGATTATACAGGCAATTGGCCTTTTTTTCAGAAAATGGAGAAGGCGTTGTACGTAGGCCAAACATCGCCACTGTCTGGCCGCACGAACAAGCAGTATCAATTTTTTAGCAGTTTTTAATTTACCGTTTGTAAAAAAAAAAGAGTGTATTATGTTAGTAATTGCACTAGGGTCGGATAGGGTCGACGTGTTTTATTATGAAGAAAAGGCAGCATTTCCAGTAAGATTAATGTCTTAGAAACAACCTATGCGCATCGCTGCGGAAACATACTTACCATCATTTCCCCTGTGAAGATTCTTAGGCGATGTTGCAGCACCTATTTTCGTCACAGTTGTAACATCATTAGCGGTTGGGTCTAAATGAAAGAGATGCCCATAGTGCTGTTAATTATCTTTTTTGCATGGTTATGTATGTTATTAAGTAATGTAGGCTTATGTAATCAATCATTGGGATACATTGTTTACCACATTGACTATGGATTAAAATGTATACGGAATACAGTTCTCATGCTGGTTTATTAAAACCAAACGTATTTGGTTACATTCAATTCATAGGAAACTTTAATATTGAAAATATTGATTATACAATCTCAATGAAAACTACCTTGAAGAGGTCTGGACGGTCTTTTCTTGTCATACTTAAAAGGGCGCTCTCCTTCATTTGCTGACATCGGGGACGTCATCGATGTACCACATGGGTTGATGTTGCCTCCATCCTCAGTAACGTCATCTCGCCTTGTGCCAATTATGGAAGTACGTCTACAAGAGGTACTTGCTTCATCGAACATGCAGCCAGGCACCAGACAGTCTACAGAGCATTCTGCGTTGGCACGTTCGGTACAAGGCGAGGCCGTGGTCAGACCGTGGTCAGCGCAGACAGTACAGGAAGCACAAAAATAATACCTGTGAAAAACAATGGCGGTGAGTCAAAATCAACATAACTGTCTTCGCAATGTTATTGGCACATGGTAAATAAAGGTCCTTACGTGTAGTTCTTTTAACTATATATTATGAGCAGATGGCATAATGTCCTTATTTGTACTATCTTTGCGCGATTAATTATGTCTCTAGACTGCGTATGACCTCGAGAAACTGACCACTTGTTTCCAAATTAAGTCATAGATATGCACAATAGTTGTCAACTTTGTCGGTAGACAATTTAACAAACCAACATTCTTGTCGTGGACCCAGAATGTTTGGGTCCACGACAAGAATGCTGGTTTGTTAAATTGTCTTCCTACAATGCTGACAACTATGTCAACATTGTGCATATCTATGACTTAATTTGGAAGCAAAAGATCAGAAATAAAATTGTAGTGAGTGATAACAACTTGAAGTGGCCTTTGGATATAGACCTACCGCAGACTCGTCGTCAGCCATATACGGCACCTTTAGGATATAAAAAGATCACCACTTATCCTAATATAGGGGTTGAAGGAATGATATAGATAGATATCCAAAGATAGACAGAAAAACTCAGGCGAACACAATCAGAAGTAATCACTGATAATCACACATATTGCACGCGTGCTGGTATAACCCCATTGGTCGCAGGATCGGAGCACCGAGGGCGTGAGCACCACTTGCGCGCTACCGTGGTTCGAACCCATTGATCGCCATTGCTTTATACATAATGGCGATGAAAGGTTGCAACTAAGTAAAGAATGGTTTATTCGCGTTCAAGTAGGAGTTAAATTAGCCATATTACGCTTGTATTCTTTTTCACAATCTCTGGGACAGCACTGATTGTTCATGCTTATAAAATCACTTCTGTGAAGGGAAAAGGTCAGTATAAGGCGCCAGTGGCGTAGCCAGGAATTTTTCAGTGGGGGGGGGGGGGAGGGGTGGCTGGAACATTTCATGGGGGGGGGGGGGGTTGGCGTCATGTAGATCTATGATATTTTTTTAGGAACTCAAGGCGTACACCTTAAATTTGCGGCTTCTCTCACAACACCCCAACAGTTGCTTACTAGTTAAAATTGCAGCGAACGTGAAGTTTACATTTGTTTGTTTTTTGAATGACATTCTATCCTACGAATTCGTGTCTACTTACTTGACCTTTCCATCCGACTTCACGCGTTCGTAGTGAACCCGCCCCTCCGCGCGTTCAGTCTCGGAAACCACGATGGCGAACTCGCGCCCTCGACTGCATGCTGGGTATCTCGGGTAGAGAGTCTCCATGTCCTCCGTCACCGCCTGTCCCTTGAAGTCAATGGGCGATAAGTCAGACAACGCTCCAGTAATGGTGCAGACGACCAGTGCGAGTAATAGAACTGAGTCCATCTTTTTCTTTGGCTGAAATTGATTCAAATATCCTTTGAGATGAAAATCGTTTGAGATTATAATGACTAGACCAGTCCTGTATCTGTATCTGTATCATTATAGTCGGTAAAGCACCCCAGGGGAAACTCACACCAATTTAGAGAGAAGACAATGAGAAGAAAAAACAGTCTTAGAGGTGGGAGGAAAAGCCCAGAAGATATTCTGGGGGAAACCCACGTAATCATGTAGGGACTAAAAACCCAATCCATATATTGACCCAGGTGGGATTCGAACCCGGGTCACAGGGGTGGAAGGCGAAGAAAGTACCGCTACACCAACCTGTAATGCTGCTTCCAGAGCAATCAATGTCACAAGTAAGAGTCAATCAGTGAGATAGGTAAAAGGACACTAGGTTGGCCCTCTTAGATCAGCAACAACTCGGGGCTGTGTAAAGTTCGATTCAGACTCAGGCCGCGTCCGAAATGAGCTTCCAGCGCTACGACTACGTCTATTGTCATCTCGTCCCCGCGTATTTTCAATGGGCGCGGACCTAGACCTAGCTTTAGACGGCTGATGCAGCCTCACTGTAAACTTCTTATTCGGTCTCTTTTTTTTTTTATAAAACAGCAAAACCAAAAAGTGTGCAGTGTCACGAATTCAACCCGTGCAAAGCCAGTATTTCAATAGTAAACTTTTGAAGTACGTGTACTGCAATAAACTCTTTGTGTCAAGCATTATGTAAATACTACACAAAAAGAAAAGGACTTCGCGCCTTTTTCCACAATAACTAGAAAATATGTGTAAACTTAGCAAGCAGTGTGTCTTTACAGTGAATATTGACACAGGCCCGACCTTTAGAAGTGTTATCAGTCTGGAGTACTTGAAAGCGGAAATTTCCATCGGGGTTTTTATCTTTAAGTGTATATGCATGGCAATTGATCATGAGGGAGTGGAAAATTACTCTGTCCTGGAAATTGAGTCTGTGTGTATTTTGGCACTGTGCCAATCTGAGAATTGCACAGTCATGATGTACGCTTAACCACAGTCGGTTGTCTGGTGTGCACAGGTTATTGGCCCACTCACGCATGACTGATACGGGGAACAAGACTACATAACAGTTACCGACTGTGTAAAACTTGTTTGTTAATTTGTTCGCGTTTTTTTTTTTTTTATAAATTGAGTATTTTTATGGGTAAGGTTTTTAATGAAGTAAACGATGGTGTATTGCCATCACACCGCTTCATAACTCCGTTTCGTTTTATCAGATAATGGATCACCTTTTTAGCCCAGAAGCTATTATTTTTTTGGCTAAGATCCGCAACATTGGAGTGATTAAGTGAATAGCCTAAGATGTTAAAGCGTTTTCTGCCTTGAGTTTTCATTATCGATGTACACATTGTGGGTGATACCCAAATTGTTGCTTTCCACGCGTTGCCTCTTGGGTTGCAGAACAGTAAACAAACTGTAATAGACCCGCCCTGTAATTCCTCGACTTTTGGGAGAATTTTCCGTCCAAAGATGATTATCCCTAAAAGTAGTCCTGAAGCCCAATTTAGCCCATCGCCATTTAGAAAAAAAAAGATGCCTATGCCTCATTGCAAAATAGAGCAGTGTAAGAGCCCAATTTCATCCAAATGTTATAAGACTTCAAGCTCGCAGTCCTGTTCACGGCTTCCACCCGTCATTATGTCTTGTTTATTAAACCTCAAGTTCATGGCTTACAGAATGTTCTAATAGCAGAGCATTTATACTCAGACGCGCCCGAAATTTGCGCGCATGTAAATGACCCCATCAATTTTCCCATAGACATGTGTGTTTACTGAAAGCCGTAGCAAAGTCGGACTAGGTTTGAGTGTCTACCTGTGTTTTTCGATGTATCCATAAAGAGCAATTTGACATACATAAGTGAGCTCAAAAAAAAGAAGGAAAGCCCAATTTTATAAAAGTTGTCTTATAGAACTTATAAAAGTTGTCGTTTGTTCGCTACCGTGTTTCCAAAAAAAGTTACCTTTCCTCGTTGACGGAATTATTAACGGAAATCGATACTTTGAATGTGGTTTTCGATTAAAAAAACAAAAACAAAAAAAACAAATATGGGAAAACAGTATAATTTTGAAGAATCCATAAATGCAATGTCAAATACCATGGTGAAAAGTTATATCATGTTGTTTATAAGTTAAAGTACATAGCAATTTCTTACCTTCTTTGCTGACGGTGAAAATCGTGAAGTATCCCAATAAACTCCGGTTTAAAATTCACTCAAACAAAACATCCACGTAAAACCGTGTGCAATTTTATTCAAAAGCATGTGTGCACGCCGTGAAATACTGTAATCATGTGTGAAGTTAGTCAACTTAATTCGTAATTTATAAGCAGAAATAGCATGTGACCCTGCCTTTATTTACTTAGTAGTGCGTGATCTTGGATATACTAAATATAGCCATTGCAGAGTGTCAATATAGTTTTGTATTGGTACAAAGTCCTTGCAATTTTATGGAAAGGTTGCATCAGGTAAAGACGAGACCAGCAAACAAAATTATATAGAAGCCATGAAAACAAAAAAGGTACAATCGACCAATCCGTGATTAATTTCCAACATGCGTGCACAAAAATCCAACATGCATGTGCGCTTTATGCACGCAGCTGGAACGTTCAGCTTGGCATTAAAGGTACAGTGGACCGTTTGCAGCTATCCAAAAGTAACCGACTAATTATTGCTAAAATTCACTAGATTTAAAAATAGCAATGAACTAAACTCTCTGTGAAATTGTGTCCGCTGGCATGCTTATACCGTTTCAATACCGTTTCATAAGTTCATGTCATCGTATTATTCAGCGAAATCTTCGTTCTTGACCAGACTGCAGAGCAGGGAACATTTCGCAGTTACTTTCACCTTTGCATGGAGAGGTATTTATACTTGATCATCTGACAATTTCTGGAAGTGACACGTCCGATTTACAATGCTAATTAAGGATATCAATCACTCAATAACACATCACAGTACGCTTAGCACCTGACAAGCTCTTCCAAACGAAAGACGAGTTCAATCATTTCCTCGGGGAGTCAGGTTGGCGTAGCGGTACTTTCCCCGCCTTCCGCCGCTGTGACCCGGGTTCAAATCCCGCCTGGGCCAATATGTGGATTGGGTTTTCAGTCCCTGCCAGATTCCGTGGGTTTTCCCCAGAATATTCTTCTGGGCTTTTCCTCCCACCTCTAAAACTGTAACTTCTTCTCATTGTCTTCTCTCCACATGTTTCTTCAGGCTTGCGAGCTACAGTGCCTAGGGCGCTTTTGATGAATCCTTGGTTTCATTACCAGAAATGATTAATAATAATAACAATAATGATCTTCATCATGGAAGTTTCAGGCAGTGCATGCTCATCGCCATTGCATATAGTTACTATAGGAAGTCGAGCGACTGGAGGCCCTGCGGAGACTACCGTGCCCTAAACAGAGGGACAGTACGTGACCGCTACCCGATTCCCTATTTGCAGCCAATCTGGACGGTAAACACGTGTTCTCAAAGATAGACCTATAAAAGACTTCATTTCCATGAAGCTAGCTTGGGTGGGAGCTATGGCACGAATGTTGATGTATACTGTTTTGCCTCTCGTGGCGCGCCATATACAATGTACCACATTGTGTGTCAAGGTCAGCTGGTAACAACAGCGACGGCACCAGCCACACTGTACATGTATATATAGCTTTTCCTGTCATGCCATGCTGCATGCACGTTTTTGTACCGCTCGTTTCCAACGTTCAAAATACCGTTTCATAGCTTCATGTTATCGTGTTATTCAGCGAAATCTTCGTTCTTGACCAGGACTGCAGAGCAGTGAACATGGTGCAGCTACTCTACACCACACTGGGAGAGGTATTTGTGCAGATGTATAGTGAGCCGAGTGTTATAGACGCATGTTTCGAGACATAGTTTCGCCACTTCGCACATAAACTGTGTAAGTTTGTTGTATGTTCGTCCACCCGTCTTTCATCGTCGTCATTTTATTAAGGCAGTGGATATTTTGCCGGAGACGGCAAACCGTTAGTAAACGTTAGCTTGCCGGATATGCACTAAACATGCGCAATTACTGTTTGTTTGTTATTTAAGACATTTCCGGTGACACATTTTAGTCTGGCTCCATGCTAACATTATCGTTGTAACTTCGTATTCACAAGATGGGAATCAGACCATTTTACAATTTCAGACTTTATTTCCCTTTAAAAACAATCATCCAGAGCCACAAGTCTGAAAGTTATGTAATACTCTGCAATAAAATGTTTGAGACATTTTAAAATAATAAAAGAAGAATATTCTTATTTTTGGGGATGGGGAAAAAAACGTTAGACATGTCGCCAGCGGGGATCGGGATCGAACCTGGGTCTTCCCGCTCATGAGAATAGATCCGTTGCTTACTCACTAAACAAAGGGTACTACACAACTGGTAGTGGTAATTTAATATATCTTATAATTCAGCCCTATCTTAGAGAGTACAGCGCCCTCTGTTGATATGGATTGCCGCCGGCAAACCTTTAGTAAACGTTAGCTTGCCGGCTTTACCTCCGGCAAAATATCCACTTTCTTTTATTTGCTCTGTCTCCCTTGTATTCGTAACTTTGTGAAGATTATACAACTACTGACGTAACCTACATGTATGCCATCCTGTAATACACATAGTAAAGTCCCACACTCAGCTGCTCCCAGACTCGAATTTGTATCCCTGTGGAGACATTTTTTTTGTTCTCGTGTAGTAAACATTTCGATTTTGAAAGTGAAGTTTCGAAATGCTCTTTTTTAACCAGAATTAATTTCCTTGGCTGAAATTCGGACTTAATATCCCTATTCTAAAACTCTTCCATTTGCGACAAAATCAACCCACCTTGGAAATTCCTAGTTTTTGAGTAAAATCCATATCGTGAAAACCTTGTGGAGAACTATTCATCTATAGAAATTGCCTTGTGGAGACCTTTACAATATTTTGTTCCCTATTGTGTGCGTGTCTCCACAAGGATACACATTTGAGCAAACTCTGGCTGAACTGTCCGACCCTGTCCATGTTTGAACACTAGTTAAGAGTGATATAAGGTGAACACTGTTTTCATGAACATCTTGATACCCCACAAGACTAAAGGTTGCCATGGTATACAGGTAATTAAGCACATAGAGGGTGTGGGGTACCAACATATCCCTTATAAGAGTCGTAAAAATATGATTATAATGAACAAAGCATTTAGGAGTACATCACTATGACAATCCTGAACTACTGATTATATTTATCTTTGTGTTGGGTGTTTGTTTGTTTATTTGCCATAGTTAATTGGTTGTTTCTTTAAACGTTCATCATAAACTGTGACGTGTTTTTTTTCTGGGTGGAGTGATGGTTTATTTTTGTTTGCATTAATTTGTTTGAACAAGTTCTGGGTGTGCGTCTGCTGACGAAGGGTATGATACTGTCAGAAACCTAAAATTCCCAAATTATTCAAAACCAAACAAACTGTGTAAAACGGTGCAAACTTCAAACATCACTCTTATGACTGACTTCACCATGCAAACCTATATCTTATCAGTTTCTGTGTGTTTTTTGTTTGTTTTTGTTACAGTGCAATTGAATTGTGTTGGCCATGTCTCCTTCGTCAATGGTTGGTCGCGTGTTTTTGGTTACTGGTGCTTCGGATGGCATCGGAAAGTATACAGCGCTACGCTTGGCCCAGACGGGGGCTACCGTACTGATGCACGGCCGCAAGACCAACAAACTCCCGCAAGCCGTGAACGAGATCTCGCGAGAGACAGGTAACAGGTGGCTAGAGGCGTACACGGCCGACCTGTCCTCCTTGAGCCAAGTCCGGGCTCTCTCAGAGGAGATACACCGCAAGCATGGTCGCCTGGATGTACTGGTCAACAACGCCGGTGTGTTCATGCCAACGAGGACCGAGACCGAGGACGGGTATGAGATGACATTGGCTGTCAACGTCCTCGCTCCGTTCCTGCTGACCTCGCTGCTCATGGATCTCCTCCGCTGCGGGAAATCAAGCCGAATCGTCCACGTGACCTCCTCTTCGCATATGGAGTGCACAGCAGTCAACGTGCGTGAGCTGGCAACAAAAATCAACTACGGGGACGGCCGACCGGCTTATGTCCTGTCCAAGATGTGCGAAGTCCTCTTTACATACAAGATGGCAGAGCTGTTCATGTGTAGAGGAGACCACAACATCACCGTCAACTGTGTTGACCCTGGGATGGTGAACACCTCTATGCTTATCAAAGCACGAGGCGGTCCGATTGGAATGCCTGTTGAGAACTCGGACTTTGTACTCAGGGCAGCCTCCGACCCCGCGCTGGATGGGGTAACAGGGAAATATTTCGAGGACTACAAGGACACTAAATCTGCGGATATTTCTTATGACAAGAATCTGCAAGATAACTTGTGGAATGTCCTGCTTGTTCTATCAGGGACGGCCTTCTAATCCTATCAGTTTATATTAAAACAGTATTTCCTGTGTCAAGGTCGTCATGACCTAAACATTTAGGCCCATATTGTTTAGTAGTATTATCAGCATTTTAACTATGATGTGGTTACGTAAACGTTCTTTTTATTGAGGGAAAGAGGAAATACAGGGTGAGTAAAAAAAAAAAACAACACCAAACCCACATGTCGGAACCATTGTTATAGTGAAGTTTTGCAGATAGCACTTTTAAAATCTCAGATTTGAGAACCCAATTTATAAGCTCTCTTTCACTGTTCTTTCAGCAAAACCAAAACAAATCACAAAGGGATGTGTGTGAGAGGTTTTTGTTTTGCTGAAAGAACGCACTGTTTTTGTGATCCGCGGACCGAACTTCAAAACGGTGGTTGTGTACTTGAAAAGTACGTAAGTGATTGAATTGATTCTTGCACTAAAAGAAAGCTTATGGACTTGACTTTCATATCCTATATTCAGAAGGTGCTACATGCAAAACTTCACTAAAATGATAGTCCCAACATTTGGGTGTCTTTATTGTTTACTCATCCTGTATATGAATAATCTAATGAGCTTACGATGGACTCTTGCGGAAATCAGTTATTTGTTTCCGTCACGTATTAGCGTGGCCTTTATACGTTGCATCGGAGCATAACTATTTGGTGATATGGAATCATTAAATCCTGCAGAGAATCGGTGATGATTCCCTTAAGATTGACTGTGTAGTTTTATCATCAATTTCAAGAGCCTCTAAGTGCTATACAGCCTTGTCTCTGTGTAATTTTATTTCTCAAAAACGGTATTGTGAATATTCAGCTTAATTGTTCTCGACGTGTTTACCTTTGAGGAAAACACTGTTCGAACCATATTTGAATATGCATGGCCATGAGCTGTGTATGTGACCTTTTGGTTGTTTTCAATCCGTGTTTATCGTGACCGTTGCAAATGAATTCTTTGAGTTTCAAAATAACTAGGCCGATATACATCATGCACATGTACATGTTTTAGATTTCTCCTCTTTTGGCGCATGCAGGGCTTAATTCAAAGGTTAGTTTATGGGCTGTCTAGACTGTTGGATGGATGAATGCAGGCTTGGCATTAGAGCTGTACTGATTGAATGTGTTGTTGTTGTTTGTTGTTGTTTGTTGTTGTTGTTTGTTGTTGTTTGTTGTTGCAGCCCATCGCCATCTTACATGATTTCATTGTAAAAATGCTCCATTCCGTTGCAAAACGCTCCTTTGTAAAATAAAGAAATTTGATTGGTCCAATTTTATCGAAATTACATAGAAATTCATTTTCAAAGTCCTCTCTTACACGGCTTCTATCCTTCTTGTTGTACAAACCCCCCACGTTTTTGGCCCACAAAACTGCTCAAATAGCAGAGAATTCGAGGGCATACAAATTGAGCTTTGGCCGGCGTAGGTATTATTGGGCCTATTCACTGACCTGCACCCCTAAGGTTGAGCGATGGGGTTAGGGGTCGGGTCGGGATACGCGTTTTCACGGTCAAGTGATTGTCACGTCACTTTAGCTAGGCTAGCCTGGCAAACTGTCAACAAACTGCCACAGGAAGTAGGCCGTCAGCTGGACTGGAAAATTCGTTCGTTTCGTTCCAGCAATCGCGGGTCTAAAATTTTTTAACAGTTGTACCGAAATACACTACCAAAGAATGATACTACAAAAGTTCTCCACATTTCGTCCAGCAGTTTTTTGATAATTTGACTCGAAAAAGCGAACTATTTGTCCATTGTGGACGTTCAAAAACGTACCGCGCCTACGTTAAAAAAATCCGCCGCGTATGACGCATCGTACCACGTGACGTGAACTGTCCAATTAGACACCAGATATGAGGTCGCAGGTCATGACATTTAACAAACATGGCGGCGTCCATTGGCAAATGTGCGTCAACGTAAACATCGACCCGTGCAAAAAAGAAGTGTTTGCACTCATAATCTGTCACGTTTGAGGGGGAAAATGCGAAGGATCTGATGTCCGGTGATAGTAAGTTCATTTCCTGTGCCAAAGAGTGGCTGAATTTCACAATGACACCGCCGAATATACCCACGATGTGTGGGGAGTGGATCTGCTTTGTCCGTATCGTACTGTACAGTACATCATGCACTACCGGCGCATGTAAACAAGGCAGTCCGGCCGGCCGATCTCACCCGTGGCGGTTTTTATAGATAGTAAACGTCTCGGTGCTGCAAGAAAAGGCAAACCATACACTTCAGCTGAGACCCAGATTTCTTCACCGAAAAAGCTCCGGACAAAGTTCAAGTTTCTTTTAATTGCCTATCTACATAACTGTGTCATGCTGCACACAAACTCAACCAGGATTTTGATTTCGATGAAAACCTCAATTCAAGGACAAGCTGCAACAGTACAACAAGCAGAACTTCCGTTGGAGGTAGGCCTACATGTCATTATAATGAAGGCGATTGTGTATTTATGTGCCCCAAAAAAGAACCAAAAAATCCATGTTTGGGTTTAATTGTCTTGAATTGAGGGTAAGATTAGGTTTTAATTTCTTTGAGGGAAACTGGGGTGACACAACGATAAAAACACAATGCGAAAACAAAGCTGGTGGTCACCACGATGCACCGTGAATGCACAGAACCGCATCGATTTGGATGGCGTTAACTGAAAATGCATAGGAAAAAATTATTTTCTTGCAAAAGATACCATTCAAAATTAAAACAGATTCCTGGTTATAAAAAAACACCTTTTCTTTCTCTACGGCATTGGACTGTTGGGTACGTCACTTGTTTACCGAGTGGTTTTTGGACTTTACTTTCCTTTTAGAAAAATTCTCTTAAGTCGATGAAGAAAAATGTCTTCAATGACAAATAGATCTTATTTGAAAAACCCAGTAAAAAAGGGGTTTTTTTTTAGTTCCATGATTCAAACCGAGTACCTCTGGCACTGAAAATAAATGTCTAACGTTAAGATGCCAAAGTACAACGGGTACTGCACAAAATCCCATAATAAAATGTTGTGCAGTCTCTTTCTCCATTGTTGAAGGATACTTTTATGGAGGTGTGAGGGTAGTCTTTCCCTTTGTATAAAATAGCAAAATACCTTATTATAGAATTTACTATTTGATTATATATATATAGGCCTAAGGGATGAACGTCAGGAAAAGGGAGATGTTCTGCGACTGACTGTTCAACCCCGATCAACAACTTAGTTTCATGAGAATGTCCCAGCTTGCTGAACTGTTGGAATTCTTGAAATGATTTAGAAGCCGAAGGAACTGGCCTTGGATCTCTTTATATCGGTAAGATGTTTCGATTGTTATTCAGAGTTCAAACAGAAATAAACTTTAATGGAATTTTCAAAATGAAAACTTCTTGATATTGCTTTGGAAGCTGAAAAGGTTGGTTCTCAAAAGCTACCAATGTTTACATATTTACAGTGGAAGGCAAAACGATCGGGCACGTGATCTTTCTATAATTTAACTCTAGATTGAACAAGTTGTTTTCTTTCTTCTAAAGCACATCCACAGTAATCATTGTTTTTGATCATCAGATACTAAACCTGTGTATATTTTACTATTTATTTTTTTTACAGAACTAATAAGTTGACATATCGGCTAAGAAGAGAATATCCACAGGTCTCTTTCCTTGATATATGCGACATCATCTACACCGCTACTTTATCTGCTGGATGTGTGGTTGAATCTCTGGGGACTTCAGAGGAGGATTCAAAACTGAAACTTTGGCTTTAGAAAGCAAGACATACGCTCCATCCTGTTGTTATGCCGTTACTGCACAAGATTTGATGAGAACTTTGATGTAGTGATAACATTTACTTGAAGTTGTATTAGCACGACTAGTTAGCATTTGACATTATAATGAAAATAATGAGTAACTCTAGATTTTTCAAAACTACATAATTGTATCCTTCTGTTCATTAGTGTTGGTTTTATTCATTTTAATTCTTTTTAATTATTAAAAATTAGTTTCAGTAGAAAGGCAAATTCTGTGAATTTTAACAGTGAGACTAGCCACATATGACAAGCCAAATCACTCTCTTTAATGTGTAAGCATACGAAATAGCATGAGTTATGGTTTTGTTTTCTTTTTATTGATATACATGCAAACATTTTTCGGTGCTAATCAATGTATCAATAAATAAAAAGCTGAAATTTTCTTTGACAAAAGACTGATCTTAAGGCTTTTCTCCAAACCAAGATGGCTGTTTTGATTAGATAGCAAATAAATGTACAATGGTTGATTTTTGAAATTATTAAACCAGACTCTGACTTCTATCTGATGGTCCTTTGATTTATAATTGTATTTAAAGCCTGTTTCACTCCAAAAAAGGTGGTCTTTCTTACAAGTAGAAGGTTCTTTAAGTGACGTACCTGGTTCACCACAGCAGATCCAGAGGGTTTGGGGGCATAGCACCCTTTTTTTTTTTAAATTTTATATGCGTAAGTTTGCTTTGTTTAAAGGGACATGTCTTGTCTGCTTTCCTGTTTCTTCTGCTGGTTACATGTACAGGTATTTATTTACTCTAAAGACACCTCCATTTTGGGCACCCCCTGTCTTTCATTAATGATGAGCTCGTTCCATCACTGCATTATAAACCTTCAAAATAATTGCATTGTTGTATGCTGCCAAATAAATTAGAGTGAAATATTTTTTGGAAGAGGGACTGTGGTGATGTCTACCAGATGAGAAAACAAAAGATCATGTTCTGTGTGACCCAATTGCCAATGTACATAAAAGATATTTTTTAACTCTAAAATCTCCTGGGTCAGATTGACCCAGAATCTGAATCCAAATTTGCTCAGTCCTTTTCTGGGTAAAAAAAATACACATTTCAGTCAAAATGACCGAGAAACATGTCTTTTTTTTACTCCAAAGTGGTCATTTATGATTCCAAAAGGGGTAAATTTTTGACCCGAAAAAGGACTGAGCAGACTGAGTTTGACCCAGGAGTTTCTAGAGTGTAGGATGTGACAAGCTATAGTGCTGTACGTGCGTAGTTTTGAAATTGGAAGTGCCAACGCAAGGTCTCAAACCGGAAATGTGGGTTTTTAGCATACATACATGTACATGTACATAACATTGGCAAACTTTGATGAAGTGTAAAAAAAAAACTGCAGCATATTTGCTGGAGAACTTTTGACATAGCGTTTGTGATGTACTGAACCCCACATATGTGCATTAAAAAAGTAGACCCAGTGTTGCTGGAACGAAACTCATTTTACAGCCGGTTTTTGAGTTTCAGCTGATGGCCTAAAGTGGACATTTTATGAATGAACTGTAGTAAATCATAGTGGAATGGCAGTTATGCTGGAAAACCGGTAAAACAATTTTGAAAAAAAAAGGCACAGACGACATTGGCTAGTTGGGGATCGTTTTGTCCCAGCCTCCTATGTTTCTTTGAAGTTTAATTTATGAAGGTCACTAATTTCACGGTTTAAATAAAAGGCACGAAGGGAAAGTGGTATATAACCGGAAAAGAACCTAAATTGACACAACGAGAAACATCTTGCTCAAAAATACTACACTACCAAACAATTATCACATTAACGTATTCCGCATGAAATGGTCAGGAATCAATCAATGAAGGTGATGTAGAGTATTTAGACAGTGCCACCACTTTAATGGATACTTAAAATACTGCGAGAATCACCCATCCATTAATTGTAACCATGATGTCACACACGCACATACACACCCAAGAGTGTATTTGCCTACAATCCGGGACCCCCCTGTTGTCCCTCTTTTGTTTGTACATTATTTTTTTAGGAAGACCTCCCATATGTTTTGTACACGAATCCTAATTGGGGCCCTTTCGGGAATTGGGGACCCTATTGTCCTCTATTGTTCAACGTCCACTATTGGATGCAGAAACAAAATCATTGTTGTTCTGTAGTTGTGTGTGGGGGGGGGGGGAACAAACACTCGTCGCCTACGGGACTAAAAACTGAAAATGCTGTTGGGGACAGCAGAAAGTCCCCATAACTCGGTTCTCATACAACCGTACGTACGTGTATCCACCTCCCGCAGTGGACGTCCTATTGTACCTCTTTTAAGGAAGACTTTCAAATGTTTTGTACACGATCCCAATCGCGGACGTATGTTGGAAATCGGGGACGATTATTGTTCTCTTTTGTTCTCCGTTATTGTTTGATCACGGTTTGAATGCATGAACACGCCTTCGGCTTTACCGACAGGGCATAACAGTCTTACGATTAGGAAGTGTTAACTCTATTTTTTTTTAATAAAGTGACATGCAACCCTTCGCATGCTTGATAATGGACAGATATGGTTAAGCTGCATGTTATTTTTTTATTCACACATACAAGCATTGCCAGCATATTGATAATACTGAGATGACATATGTATTGACATAATCGCTGCTATTTTTCAGTAATTAAGATCATGTCATCTCAGAGCAATGCGGGGTTGTTGCGAAGGAAGTATTACTAGGCTTAACACCAAGAGTCTAACAAAAGTGTCTTGAGAGACAGTTAATGTATCAACATTTAAGATTAACACCTCTCTTAGAAGTAAGCGGATTGTTTCAGGTTATAGGTGCAAAATATGTTTCCCCCAGGGGTGGTTTGTAAACCAAAATAACTTGCTTTTATACATTATAAAAGTTCCATATTTAAATTTGCTTAAAATACGCGAGAATATAGCGCCCTCTGGTGGTTGTTTCCATGGCTTTTACTGATACTGTCAACGTAATTTCAATTAACTGATAAACAGTATTGGCAATTTACATTAACAATGTATTAACTGATGAATTTTTGATCTCCCTCACCCCAAATGCTACAGTATTTTTTTGTACACACAGTAATGGGAACATATACTATGCAAATTATGCAAATAAGCATGTTGGGATTCCTTAGGACATTTAGGATGATGTTCTAGAGGCATCACACCAATGCACTGTGGTAAAACGAATTCTGTTGCAGTTTGTCCCAAGTCAATCTAATATTGCCTGGACTTCATGTAAACATATATCTTTCAGAAGTTTCAGAACACATCAAAGTGTTGTTTTTTTTAGAACCACGTTTTACAGCACTTATCACATTTATTAACATTGTGCTTTCACCTAGAAATAGTGACTTCATTAATCACGTGTTGTGTTTCTTCAATATAGGACACTTTTAAATGAACCTCGACAGACTTGAATTCGCTGAACAAATCCGGCCAATTGATGAGCAGTTTTTCAAGTGTCCTCAAAGTCGAGATGTCAAAATGTGCTGATGAATGCTATCAACCAGTATGTGCAGTTGTAAAGGGCATTTCAATTGCACCCTTCGCGAGGACTTTGAAACGTTTCTTAATTGACCCCATGCATGAATAGTAGATGACGCTTTGTGACCATCTCAGAGAGTCTCAGTGGACTGGGCAGGGTCATACTGCGTAAACATTCTGGATAGCGCGTGTGGTGTAAGTAGAAACGACTTATTTGGGACTATTACAATGACAAGCGCGCGTACAGGATTAATTTTCAGACGTATACCCATGCACAGCTGATGGCGCAAAGGGCTAAGCCTATTTGGTGACATTGGCGCCATTTCTCTACAACAACAACACAATCATATACGTGACTTTTTTTTCTAATGAAATAATACATAACAGTGATTTGACCTGAACATATTCACTGCTTCCTAATTCCTCTGAATATACACAAACCAGTATCGCCAGCGCGTGAGCGCCAGACGTACGACGGCAATGCGTTTAAGAGCCATTACAGTGGTCTCCCCAACTCTCTCTATGAAACAGGTGAAGCAGATATACTTGTTCACTGAGTTTGTTCTCAATCACGCTTAGCAAACCTCTAGTACGGAACGTATGCAGGACTGTTTTTGCGCTCAGCAAAGAAGCGCTTTTTGGCCATAAAAATGTGAACACTGTTGACGTAAGCGATCTTGTTCACGAAGATCAAAACGGCCACCAAGTTGGATTGGTAGAAGCACTTGCTGCCGTCTTTGTAGAGGCTTCCATGTGCGTAGAACCGGATGAAGATCCAACGAGTCGACAGGATGAAGAAGTGAAGGTGTTGATGAAGAACATATTGGTGATGCGGGAATACCTGGTAGCTTGTTGCGTTTCGACCCATCGTTTTGAAGTCCGTGAGAGGATGAGGAAGTGCTTGCATCCGGCCGAACCGATAGTTCCTGTGTAGGATTTCAGTTTTCTGTTGCGGGGCTGTTCCACGCATAATGACGTCCGACAGGTGGTGGTGGTAGTGGTGGTGGTGGTGGTAGTGGTGGTTGGGTTGTTCGCCGATTGAAGTCCAAGTAATTCTGTCGAAGATTGTTGTTGAGCTTCGGAGGGACGGGCCTAGCGCCATTACACTCTGAACTTGAGATGCGACTAAACTCTCCGACCTAAGCTCCCCACCATGATATCATGCTCTGTTTTTGATCTGCTGGGCCACACCTTGCGAGATTGTGTGGACTTCAAATTCTGGCTTGAATTCGGTACAGGAGGTGCACATGCTGACCTGTTAGAGCTGGATGTCCCATTTACGGCAAACCTCAGACCTAGGAAGAACAATTTTTGGCGGGGTGGCAATGGCTTGCCAAAGGACGCAATTACTACAAGCAACTGGATTCTAACCCCTGACCATGCAGTCAGTCGTGGCAGGCAATCGTGATTATCTTGGCACTTCTGATGGCTGCGACACGATGGAGTGACCGACAGATGGCATCAAAGCAATCGAAAGCGATAGCCGCTGTCTGAAAGGCCGGTAGTGTAGAGCAGCCCCGTCCCAAGAAAGTGAGGGATACTCTCGCGATTACTCATCTCGTTACCTCAAGCTTCGCCCAAAACTCGTACTTTAAGACAGCTGAATTATTCGCGTCTGCCATATCGGTATATGAACTGCTCTTTGTGTGAAGACTGCACTACCGTCAAGCCTTGCTTCTTATAAGCGTCACTGTGTGGAAATCTCGGGTAACGAAAACTAAATCCCTTGTCACCAAAACATTCCACACCATAAAGTACAATCACATTAACTTAGTCTAGTTTGGTTGATGGAACTACAATCAGCAGAGTTCAGTTTCATTGTGACGATCCATGTTGGTCATTCGTCCGTTTCACAGTAAGACCAGGCCTGTTTCGACTCAACGTGACAGCAACGCCTAAAAAAAAAAATTAAAAAAAATGAATATTGAGCAATGTTTTGTCCCGGTGAAAGAGTCTGTGCCTACCCACCTTCATTATCATCACAATAACATTTATGGTTCAGTGACTCGTCTCTCTTCAATTCATTCACTGTATTGAGCGTTTTATTATAAATTCATGCATTGGGTGTGTAATTGTCGTCCATGTAAGAACATATATCCTGAACAAGTCCAACGTCGTCACCAATCGCATCTTCAGCTTTGAAACGTTAAAAGGTACCGTTACAAAAACTTCAAGTTTTACATGGTAATAAAGTAATTAAGCACGTAGAGGGTCTGGGGAACCAACATAGAAATGTATCCCTTAAGAGTGGTAAAACTATGATTATGAACACAACATTTTGGGGAGACATCGCCATTGCAATCCTGAACTGCTGATTTCTTTCTCTTTGTTTGTTTGCCGTTAATTGTTGGGTTTCTCGGTGGAGTTCTTTTTGTTTTCCCCGTTTGCACTCATTTCTTTATACATGTTCTGTATGTCTGTCTCCTGACAACGGGTAGACCATACAGTCAGAAACGTTGAATTCCCGTTGTGTTCAAAGCCACACAAACTGTGCTATACGGTGCAAACTTCAAACTTAACACTTGGTACTGACTTCACCATGCAAACCTTCTTATCAGCTTCTGTGTGATATTGTTTTGTTACAGTGTAATTGAAATTTGTTGCCATGTATCCTTCATCAATGCTTGGTCGCGTGTTTTTGGTTACTGGTGCTTCGGATGGCATCGGGAAGTACACAGCACTACGCTTGGCCCAGACGGGGGCTACCGTACTGATGCACGGCCGCAAGACCAACAAACTCCCGCAAGCCGTGAACGAGATCTCGCAGAAGACAGGTAACAGGTGGCTGGAGGCTTACCCGGCCGATCTGTCCTCCTTGAGCCAAGTCCGGGCTCTCTCAGAGGAGATACACCGCAAGCATGGTCGCCTGGATGTCCTGGTCAACAACGCCGGTGTGTTCATGCCGACGAGGACCGAGACCGAGGACGGGTATGAGATGACATTGGCTGTCAACGTCCTCGCTCCGTTCCTGCTTACCTCGCTGCTCATGGATCTCCTCCGCTGCGGGAAGTCAAGCCGAATCGTCCACGTGACTTCCTACTCACATACGCAGTGCACAGCTCTCAACTTGGATGACCTGACAACAAAGGTCAACTACGGTGACGGCCGACCGGCTTACGTCCTGTCCAAGATGTGCGAGGTGCTCTTTACGTACAAGATGGCAGAGCTCTTCAAGTCAATAGGAGACCATAACATCACCGTCAACTGTGTTGACCCTGGGATGGTGAACACCTCTATGCTTATCAAAGCACGAGGCGGTCTAATTGGAATGCCCGTTGAGAACTCGGACTTTGTACTCAGGGCAGCCTCCGACCCCGCGCTGGACGGGGTAACAGGGAAATATTTCGAGGACAACAAGGACACTAAATCTGCGGATATTTCTTATGACAAGACTCTGCAAGATAACTTGTGGAATGTCTTGCGTGTGCTTACAGGGACGGTTTGTTTATATTATCAGTAGATACTAAAACTGTACTGTAGTTTCTATGTCAAAGTCGTAATGACATAAACTGCAAAACGATTAACATGATGCTTTAACAAACAACAGGTGCACTTCATTATGTAGACCCCTAGTATTTTTAGTCTTATGTGGTCACGGAAGCGTCTTTTAATTGAGGGAAAGATGAAATATCTGATTAATCTAAAGACATTGTAATTGACAATTGAGAATTTGATTTTTTTTAAGCTTTAACTGTGTACTTTTTCATACATTTCAGGAGCCTCAAATGCTAGACGCGGTACATTCTCTGCGTGATTTTATTTCTCACAAACGGTAGTGTTGTTTGCATTATGCCTGCCTATCTTGAATTAGTTACAAACATGTTTGCGTGGGCAACTACAATGTAGTAGAAACGGTGTTATTCACACGTATGCATTTCTCTTGGTGAAGGGTAGTCAACTATTAATTTATCAAATTGTTGCATTAGCATTCTATTAAGTTGAGTTATTGTACTAATTAATTGTTGCATTAGCATTATATTAATTTGTGACAAATGGAACATAAAAAAATAAAATACAATTATAATAAAAATATCTATAGGCGTTCAGTGCAAAGCGTTTTAATGGCACCAGTATTGGTGTGGGTGCATGACTCTTGGAAGCCACTGTACGTGCTATTCGAGAACCACCGATGTACATGACATCGTCACGCGTCAGTAATGTTCATCTTTTTTTTCTCAATGAGTGCGTACCCTTTGGGGAAAGCACTGCTCCAGAACCACCGATAGCGTAGGTGTTATCACATTTGATTATGAATGACGGATACGACGTCATTTTTTTTTGTGCCCAATAATTGTGCTTACCGTGACCGTGGCATCGTCGCGCTTTATAAATATTCAGCTTGTTCTCGATACGCGCTTACCTTTGAGGAAAACACTGCTCGAATCAACATGTTAATATGAATAACATCTGATATGCATGTCTAGCTGTGGAGATGACCTTTTGCCTGTTCTCAATAGGTGTTTACCGCGGCCATGGCGAACGCGGAGCGCAAAGCCCTTACGGCGTGGCTAAAAGGGGCCCTAAAAGTTTTGGAATATGGATGCTCTGTGGTGAAATCTGAGGCGATTTTTGGCCACTTTCATATGACTTTTTTAGCAAACCTTTTTTTTTTTAGATTATAAAGACAATTTATTTCACTTTTTTGTTTAGAATATACTGTTGCTCTTATAACGTTTCTACTGTACTGAAAAGTCGAAAACCCTGAATTTTTATCTCCATTTTTTGTTCCATTTAATTCTGGAAAAAGAATTATATCATTATGCATGACATCGCATGTAAATATTATTGTTGCATGGCCGCTTTCTTACGTTTGGTAAATTCCGTCGTGTATGTTTTGTTTTATTTTCCGAGCTCTTATGGCGTGGGGCCACAGGGCCAGGGGCCTGCTTTAAGGCCCCGGAAAATGTTGGATTCTGGATGCACTGTGATGAAATAAACTGAAGTAAATACTTTAACTTATAAAACCCGGAAGGATGTTTTTTTGGTTCAAGTTAAAAACAAAATGGTTCCACTGCAAGCGGACGAATTTCTGTTCATAAAAATATTCACATAGGCCTAAACGATGTAGCTCTCGATATATTTGCAGTGTTATTTGTTTGTTACAGGGAATGGCAAATATAAAAAACTAACAGACTAAGGATTTATCGGTCTACTGAGTTTTTTTATGAGAAAAAACTTGCAGAGGGTAACACATGAATAGTTTTTTATTAAAACGAAACTACACTGGAACTGCCGTAAATCATCGGACTAGTTTCAATAGAAGCCCGTCCCACTCCTATTAGGTTGGGATGTGTGTGAACCTTGCTATTTGTTAATGTTGAATACAGAATGCTAGCAACGTCAATGGAACTTTTAAATGAAAAGAAAAACCTTCAGGGGAAAGGTATGAACATTTGCCCCTATTGAAAGATCGAATGAAAACAATAGACATGTCATGATTTTGGATACATTGAGAGAAATATCGATTCTGCACTGTATGAAGATTTAGAAAATACCTCCTCCTGATATGTTAAAGTGTTACTTTGTGCTAGACGTTCGAAGCGCCGCGCTTAGGCGGGCGGGCTAAATACCCCCTGTTCATTTACCGTGGGACGGTATTGTTATTGAGGAAGTGTGGGACGCTTCAAGCCAAAGCGGGAGACGGTCCACGCATGAACGCACACGGTACAGCCGTGCATGGTGACGGTTTGCAGTGGGGCTTGTATGTTTAGGGCAGACAAAAGAACAGAGGATTAGCAATGTACCAGGTCTTTGCGGTCGGTGAGTAGAAGCCGCCACTGACGGGTATGAAACCGCAGGATTCATTGTTATAAAAATGGTTATTTGTAGCGGGAGCCGGGAGTGCCAACCGTGGGACGGTTTGTAGAAACGGGTCACCCGCTTTCTTTTCAAGCAGGAGCCGATAAAAGAGGGGCTCAATTGAAAGCGGCTCCCGGTAAGTGAACAGGGGGTATTTAGCCTGTCCGCCTTAGCCGCGGCAAAACTAGAAACGAACAAAACGAAGGAGATATTTGTAGATAAGCATTATGTATAGCGCAGCGGCGCAATTTCAACGTCGTAGAACACTGCTGGCTGGAACACATTTTTGCCCGGGAGTAGGGGTTGCTGAAGCATATTTCAGCACCGCAATCCAAAAAGTTTGGGGTTCTGCAGCACCCACATCACCCCCCGTTCCCGCGGGCTTGTTTGAGTTTCAAAATAGGCCTACATGTACATGTTTATGATTCCTCCTTTATTGGCGCATGCATGGCTAAATTCAAAGGGCAGTAAGTTTATGGGCTGTCTAGACTTGGGGAATGTTGAAAGGATCGATGAATGAGGGCTTGGCATCTGAGTTGTACTGATTTATTGTGTTGCTTTAGTTGTTGTTGTTGCTTGGCTAAGGGTGCAGGCCAATAAATCAACTGCCAGAGACCCCAGTGATAAATACACCAAATATACTCACACATTTTCAAGGTGTTTGAGACACCTCTCAAATTAAACGTTTTTCATCATTGGGGGGGGGGGGGGGAATCCATGACCTGTGGGAGAAATTTCCATCCAAAGATGATCACCACCTAAAAGTAGTGGTGAAGCCCATCGCCATCTTACATGATTCCATTGCAAAATGCTTCATTCCATTGCAAAACGCTCCATTGTAAAATAGAGTAATTTGTTGGGCCCAATTTCATCCAAATTACATAGTCCTCTCTTCACGGCTTCTACCCTTCTTGTTGTACAAACCCTCCACGTTCTTGGCCCACAAAACTGCTCAAATAGCAGAGAATTCGAGGGCATACAAATTGAGCTTTGGCCGGCGTAGGCATTCTTGGGCCTATTCACTAACCTGCACCCTAAGGCTGAGCGATGGGGTTAGGGGTCAGGTCAGGATACGTGTGTTCACGGTAAGTGATTGTCACGTCACTGTAGCTAGGCTAGCTTGGCAAAATGTCAACAATCTGCCACAGTGAGTGGACATTTTATGAATGAACTGTGGTAGATCATATTGGGTTGGCAGTTATGCTGGAAAACCGGTAAAACAATTTTTTTTAAAGGCGCAAACGACTTTTTCCAGCGAAACTTTTCTGGATTTTTTTTTTTCGCACGGAGACAAATGTACCAGAAGTTTGATACTACAGATATCTATTGTTTTTCAATGGAGGGCGCGCCACAAGCACAGTGGTCACTACTGCCTACTCAGCACGGATGCCTCACTTAGTATTGAGTAAAAATAAGACACTCACAGTTCGGGCAATATCTCAAGATATACTGAATGTAATAACGCAATATTCCGTATAGTAATTGTTCACAATGTGTAACGATCGCCAGTTTAATTTCACGAGAACTCGTCAAACAACATAACCAATATGACCGAAATAACTTAGTGTTTAGCCTTGAACAACAATCCGAAATAGTCAACGTCCAATACAACAAACTATTCGTTGTTTAGAGCAATATCCTCTGAACTATCACATGTATTATACTGAAACTTCGTCCAGTAATTGTTAATGATGTGTCACATTCGGAAATTGAAGTTGATGAGAATTTACTAACAGTACAAATAATGTGCGTTAAACCTGAAAAAAAATATATATATATATATATATATATATATATATATATATCCAAATGAATGTCATCGTACATGAGAAAAATACTCCATGGTTTGGGTGATAAGTCGCGATTTCCTTCATAATCTATCACATTCAGGAGTATATTTTCAAGGGAATTAATTCATTAAACAAGAAAGAAAATGAGATTGAAACATTGTAGTGTTTTAAACCTGACAAATAAAATCCCTGTTAGAGCAACGTTCATGGCCAACAGGTCACGCTCCTGTTTTATGCAATAACCACCAAAACGCCAAAGACTTTAGCTTTTTTCAAGTGTACTGATCCCCAACACTTTTTCCAGCGAAGCTTTTTTCTTTCTTTTTTCGCACGGAGACAAATGTACAAAGTGGTTTAATACTATATATATAATTTTTTTCTCCGTGTTGACACAAGACACTTTAAAAGGATACAAAAATACTTTGTTTCAATCGTCTGTCTTGTTTGTCTCTCTTTTTCATGAACAATAACCTGGCCACAATTCAATTCATTGCGTAACTTTGAGATAGCTTGTAAAGCTGGACTATCGTTTCTGTGCAAAAAAGTGAGCCAAATGTTGTGTTCGGACAAGGACTGCAGCCTATCGCCAACTTTTGTTCTCCGTGTTGACACAATACGCTGTTGAGGGAGAGAAAAACAATATTTTGTCTCAATCGTCTGCCTTGCTTGTCTATTTTACATGACCAATCATCCGGCAACCATTCAATTCAATGCATTACTTAATTTTTGAAATACCGTGTCCAGCAGGCATATCGTTTCTTTGCAAAGAGTGAGGAAAATGGTCTGTTTGGACTGGGATTACATCCTATCGCAAAGTTTTTCTCCGTGTTAATTGACACAAAACACTGTTGAGGGAGCGACAAAACAAAATATTTTGTCTCAATCGTCAGTCTTGTTTGTCTTTTTTTCTTAACCAATCATCTAGCAACCATTCAATTCAATGCATCACTTAATTTTTGAGATTATCGTTTCTTAGCCAAAATTGAGTCTCTGACCGAAGCCTATCGCAAAGTTGTTCTCAACGTTTGCATAAGTCCCTGTTGAGGGAGAGAACAGCAAAATTTGTTTCTCAATCTTCTGTCTATTTTGTCTATTTTTCATGATAAATCACCTGGCCACGGCTCAATTCAATTGCTTAATTTTGAGATAGCTTGTCCTGCATGAATATCGTTTCGGAGCAAAACGTGAGGAAAATGGTCTGTTTGGTTTGGGACAGCATTTGGTTTTTCTCCGCGTTGACACTATACACTGTTGAGGGAGAGAACAACAATATTTTGTCTCAGTCTTCTGTCAAGTTTGTCTTATTTCAATGATGAATTACCTGGTTACCGCTCAATTTAATGCATTACTTAATTTTTGAGATAGTTTGTCGTCCATGGCATGACTATCGTTTCCAAGAAAAAAAATTGTGGAAATTGGTCTGTTTGGACTAAGACAGCACTCTCTCCAATTTTTCCTCCGCGTTTACACAAGACACTGTTGAGGGAGAGAAAAACAATATTTTGTCTAAATCTTCTTTCTAGTTTGTCTATATTTCAAGATAAATCACCTGGCCACGGCTCAATTTAATGCATTACTTAATTTTGGAGATAGTTTGTCCTCCACGACTATCGTTTCCGAGAAAAAAAAAATTGTGGAAATTGGTCTGTTTGGACTAAGACAGCACTCTCTCAAATTTTTCCTCCGCGTTTACACAAGACACTGTTGAGGGAGAGAAAAACAATATTTTGTCTCAATCTTCTGTCTAGTTTGTCTATATTTCAAGATAAATCACCTGGCCACGGGTCAATTTAATGCATAACTTAATCTTTGAGATAGTTTGTCCTCCATCACTATTCGTTTCCGAGAAAAAAAAGGGTGGGAAAATGGTCTGTTTGGACAGGAACTTCACTCTCTCCAAATTTTCCTCCGCGTTTACACAATACACTGTTGAGGGAGAGAAAAACAAAATTTTGTCTCAATCTTCTGTCTAGTTTGTCTATATTTCAAGATAAATCACCTGGCCACGGCTCAATTTAATGCATTACTTAATTTTTGAGATAGTTTGTCCTCCATGACTATCGTTTCCGAGAAAAAAAAGTGTGGAAAATGGGCTGTTTGGACTGGGACTGCACTCTCTCCAAGTTTTCCTCCGCGTTTACACAAGACACTGTTGAGGGAGAGAAAAACAATATTTTGTCTAAATCTTGTGTCTAGTTTGTCTATATTTCAAGATAAATCACCTGGCCACGGCTCAATTTTATGCATTACTTAATTTTTGAGATAGTTTGTCCTCCATGACTATCGTTTCCGAGAAAAAAAAGGGTGGAAAATGGTCTGTTTGGACTGGGACTGCACTCTCTCGAAGTTTTTCTCCGCGTTTACACAAGACACTGTTGAGGGAGAGAAAAACAATATTTTGTCTCAATCTTCTGTCTAGTTTGTCTATATTTCAAGATAAATCACCTGGCCACGGCTCAATTTAATGTATCACTTAATTTTTGAGATATTTTGTCCTCCATGACTATCGTTTCCGAGAAAAAAAGTGTGGAAAATGATCTGTTTGGACTGGGACTGCACTCTCTCCAAGTTTTCCTTCGCGTTTACACAAGACACTGTTGAGGGAGAGAAAAACAATATTTTGTCTAAATCTTGTGTCTAGTTTGTCTATATTTCAAGATAAATCACCTGGCCACGGCTCAATTTAATGCATTACATAATTTTTGAGATAGTTTGTCCTCCATGACTATCTTTTCCGAGAAAAAAAAGGGTGGACAATGGTCTGTTTGGACTGGGACTGCACTCTCTCCAAGTTTTCCTCCGCGTTCACACAAGACACTGTTGAGGGAGAGAAAAACAATATTTTGTCGAAATCTTCTGTCTAGTTTGTCTATATTTCAAGACTAATCACTTGGCCACGGCTCAATTTAATGCATTACTTAATTTATGAGATAGTTTGTCCTCTATGACTATCGTTTCCGAGAAAAAAAAGGGTGGAAAATGGTCTGTTTGGACTGGGACTGCACTCTCTCCAAGTTTTCCTCCGCGTTTACACAAGACACTGTTGAGGGAGAGAAAAACAATATTTTGTCTCAATCTCCTGTCTAGTTTGTCTATATTTCAAGATAAATCACCTGGCCACGGTTCAATTTTATGCATTACTTAATTTTTGAGATAGTTTGTCCTCCATGACTATCGTTTCCGAGAAAAAAAGTTTGGAAAATGGTCTGTTTGGACTGGGACTGCACTCTCTCCAAGTTTTCCTCCGCGTTTACACTAGACACTGTTTAGGTAGAGAAAAACAATATTTTGTCTCAATCTTTTGTCTAGTTTGTCTATATTTCAAGATAAATCACCTGGCGACGGCTCAATTTAATGCATTACTTAATTTTTGAGATAGTTTGTCCTCCATGACTATCGTTTCCGAGAAAAAAAGTGTGGAAAAGGTCTGTTTGGACTGGGACTGCACTCCCTCCAAGTTTTCCTCCGCGTTTACACAAGACACTGTTGAGGGAGAGAAAAACAATATTTTGTCTCAATCTTCTGTCTAGTTTGTATATATTTCAAGATAAATCACCTAGCCACGGTTCAATTTAATGCATTACTAAATCTTTGAGATAGTTTGTCCTCCATGACTATCGTTTCCGAGAAAAAAAAGGGTAGACAATGGTCTGTTTGGACTGGGACTGCACTCTCTCCAAGTTTTCCTCCGCGTTTACACAAGACACTGTTGAGGGAGAGAAAAACAATATTTTGTCTCCTGATAAATCACCTGGCCACGGCTCAATTTAATGCATTACTTAATTTTTGAAATAAAAACAAAACAAAACAAAAACTGTGAACCTAAAAAAAGGTTCACTGTGGATACCATACATTTTGTAAAAAAAAAAGACAGAAAATATCTCAGTAGAATTATTTTGTTCTCGTAAATTTAACATTACCAATATTAGGCTGAACAATTTCACAGGACTTTATACAAGTTCTTTGTTCACTTTGAGTAAGGCTTTTCTCATTAAATCGGCTAATCCCCAATGTCCCTCCGTCTTCCATTACAAAACTTAAAGGAAACATGCAGTCCAAAATTTTCATAACGTATTTTATTTTATATATACATTCATCTATGTGTATTAAATGTGAATTAAAAGCAGAAATGGTTCTGGTGTACGTTTAGTGTGGTAATTTGCCGTCCAAAATTGAACCCCCCCTTTTTGATTTTCGCGGCAACTCCAAATGACATAAACAAAGGCAGAGAAATCCAGGGCCCGTAAATGACGTCTGGGTACGAGACGGATTAGCGAAGCTACTGTGCTGTGTGTATGTGCAGCCGCCGCGTACCCGTACGTGGCATTATATGCACACGTACGAATGTGTCTACATGTACATGGGATATGTACAGTAGTACACGTGGACGTGCCACGGTGCCACCGTTGTCGAATGAACACAACGACGACCGTCATGACCGTAAAAGTTCCGAAGACCGTCCTCTTCTTTCCTTAGCGAATCCGATGAAAATGGTACAGATTCGTCCGATTCCAATCAGAGTTCTAATGATTCAAACACTGACTCGATGTTTTTTTAGGGGCATGCCCAAGTTGCTGTACAGACCAGCATCAAAGCACGACGGCTCAAAGTGCAGCGCAGAGGGCCGCGAACTCACTGGGCCCGGACCACTTTGCTCTGGTATTTACCTTCACTTTGGCTCTCCAAATGCTCCGATATTTCGGATTTACTGGAAACAAATGTAGGCTTACTCCATCCTTGGTAGTTTTGCTACACCCAGCAGCCACACACCTTGTCGGCATGGCCGAAAATCGGGTGTTATTTCTCCTCGATTCCGAACGAAACACCAGAAAAACTTTCAGTGCCGCATGTATATGTACATGTATTATGATGCACGCCGCAATGCCGGTGCCCCCGCAGCGCGGCAAGTCTCTGCCTTCGCTTGCGTCATACCCCTCGCGAAGTTTTATGTTAATGAAGCTTCCCTTTGTGGGGCGGAGTAGTTTGACCAAACATGTTCACAAATTATTTTCCCCCATTTATCTTAGAAAATAAACACCGCCATACACAAAATATTGTTAAGAACATCATCCTTTATTGATTTAAGCAAAAAAAATGCAATCAAAATTTTATTGCATGTTCCCTTTAAGCTTTATTTTAATTAAGACTTTTAAGAAACTATTAACATATTACTTCCACGAAAACAAAATAACAAAATTAGAAACAAACAATAAAATCGTTTGACACACATGATTGCCCAGCATCATCACTGGCTAGAGAATAATGCAGAAGTCTTGAATGCCAAAACCTAATGGAACTACTATAAAACCAATTGCCATCGTTTTATAAGATTGGATGTTCCTGAAGCAGAAATGGGTATTTTATATTTTTAGTTACAAACGTGCTGTATAAAAAAAATATTGTTAACGTCATATATCACTGGGACATATTTTCCTGAAGACGTACCGGAAACGAATACTTGGTTGAAATTAAAAAAAAAAAAAAAAAAAAAAAAGGAAAATAGGCGCTTCGAGCTACTACTGTTAAAGGCACGCATTTGCATAGAGACTGTCACATTTAGTGTATTAGATTGTTTACTCACCATATCCTACACGTACAAAGCAGTGTACCATATGCTTTACTTGCGTTTTTTGCTAATGTGTCAATAATTTTTTTTCCAATGAAATATTGTAAGCAGGTTATCTGAATTTCAATCTAAATATATATTATAAGTATTTGCTTCATCCAATGCTTTTCTTCAAATGTTTACCGTCATTAATTAAAAATCATTTAAGTCACGCGGTGCGTTTAAGTGCTAAAAACATATAAATTTACCGTTCCCTTTAAAAAGAAATAAAATACATTGTGTGTAAAATTTGATGTGTATGTACGAGGGGTAGAACTAAGAAACAGGATAACTAACCGGAAGACATAATAATAATAACGACTGAATTACCAAGTGCGAACCGAAATAAGAACATGATGCGGTAATACGCTCATAAAGAGAAAAGGCAAAAGAACATAATAAAAATTATCAACGGCTATATAATTTGAATTAATATCAGTATAGGCTTCGGGCCTGTGTTTATGAAACTTGTTATTGTTGTCGGTGTCATCTATTTTTAAACATCTATTTTTAAACAGTACACTCTAACAAAGACCCGGGTTACATTTCGTCTGAAGCTTTTCCCGGTCAAAATGAATGACACCTGAACGAGACACCTTTCCTGGCAATTTGACCAGGAAAAATGTCTTTTTGAAAGCCACCCCCTCCCCCTCCCCCCTCCCCCCCCCCCAAAAAAAAAAAGTCGGTCAAATCTTACCCAAATTCCGGGGCCGATCTGAACCGCGAAGTTTAAGACGCAGTTCCTTAACCAAAACAACATCAATATACAGCACCCGTTAAATTAGCCAAAACGTCCCACAACATGTCCTGTTGTTCTTTATCTTATGAAATATCGCTGGATGTAGTGTCTTTACCGTCCTCGAAGTATCTGCCAGTCACTCCATCTAGGGCAGGATCTGTAGCGGCCCTGAACACCAAGTCTGCTTCTTCCAAGGAAATCCCAGTCTTTTTGCCTTCCCAAGCTTGTTTGAGAAGGTTGGTGTTGACTCGGCCGGGGTGGAGGCAGTTGACAGTGACGTTGGCATCTTTACCCAGCACTTCCGCCATTTTGTATGTGTACAAGACTTCGCAGAGTTTGGACTGCGCGTATGACTGTCGCCCTTTGCTGTGGGTCCAGTTGTTGTTGTTGTTGTTGTTGTTGTCCTTCAACTCGTCAATTCTGATCATGGTTTGGTACTCGCGATGCAAGGCGGAACTGACGTGTACAATGCGACTTGAATCGCCGGCTTGCAGGAGATCCATGAGCAGCGAGGTCAGCATGAACGGAGCGAGGACGTTGACAGCGAATGTCATCTCATACCCGTCCTCGGTCTCGGTCCTCGTTGGCATGAACACACCGGCGTTGTTGACCAGGACATCCAAGCGACCATGCTTGCGGTGTATTTCCTCTGAGAGAGCCCGGACTTGGCTCAAGGTAGACAAGTCAGCCGTGTACGCCTCCAAACACATGTTACCAGTCTCTCTGAAGATCTCGTTCACGGCTTGCGGGAGTTTGTTCGTCTCGCGGCCGTGCATCAGTACGGTAGCCCCGGTTTGGGCCAAGCGTAGTGCTGTGTGCTTCCCGATGCCATCTGAGGCGCCTGTTACAAGAAAGACGCGGCCATCCATCCTGGCAGGCTGCGACAATCGAATCATCCTGCTTCTAATGAAGCCAATGGGTCGTCAAATGAATACAAACTAACAAGTGGCGTAAGCTTCAAGCAAACGGTGTAAAAACGTGCACACACCGGCGTTCAGGGACACAGACCGGAGTTAGAGGACAACGGTTTTGTAATAGCTTGGAGAGGGAGGAGTTGACCTCCCTCTCCAAAACTTTTGACAATAGACCATCCAGGCTGAAAGATGGACGCAACCACCGATCAGGGAGAAGGGGGGGGGGGGGTGGGCAATGGGGGCCATCCCATCAACCCCCCCCCCCGCAAAAAAAACACCTTAATTATATATGTATTCATGTATTTATTTGTTTACATGACGTCGCAAGAAAAGACAGCCACTGTGTACATCACAAACAAAAGCAGTACATCTGACTTTGTTGAAACAATACTGGATATATAATTCAAGAATATTTTCCATGATCTGCCTCGCATCATTATTTTAGGTTCTTGAGGCAGGATTACTTTACTGTTCTGTCAAAAATGTAAAACTTTTATGGGCGTTAATCAGTGGGTGACAGGGGACATATCTTTGTTTGCTGTTTGTTTGTTTGTTTGTGTTGCCCAAAGTACCCCATTCCTTCTTTTTTTCGCCCGGAATAAAACCGTAAAAAAGCTCACAAAAGCTGATTCAATGACACCAGACTCAAAAACGATGATTAAATGATGACCTTTTGCTAAAACAAAAATGAGTTAAAGTGGTCAGAAATTGCCTCAAAGCGTAGAATCTTAAATGTCCCGGTGCCCCGATAAACGGGCCTTGAACCCCGCGCCGTAAGGCCTTCGCGCTCGCTTTAGTTCTGGTCAAGGTAATATTTCCCACCAGTTTTAACGACCAACAGACTGTGATTCCACTCTTACATATTATATATAAAAATCCCACTCCCTATGGCAGTTTGCCAAGCCTAGTTACAAAACATTTGAGGCACGCGCACCGCAACCCATCATTATAATAAGCCATAGCCAACCACCCATTCAATTCGTGACAGCTCAGATGCTAACAATTCAAGCATTCATTCATCCAATATCCTATTTAGGCCAAAAAAAAAAAGTCTCCGGTTTCTGGTATGCGCGCGTGTCGCCGTAGCCATGCGCGTCGGCAAAATGAAAACGTTTTTTTTTCAATGAAAGATGATGTTTCAAAACCGCCAAAATCTCTGGTTTGACTGGAATCCTGCTGCTGCACAATTTTAACGTGTTTTTAGATTGGGTTATGGTCGAGAATAAGCTTTATGTGGCCTCTCTGGACTCCCATATATTTGCTTTAAGTTTAGTCGGGCACCATTTGCAGTCATCAGCCGACATTTGAAGCAAAAATATCAGGTAAAAAAAAAAAAAAGAAGCTGCGTCGCCGCACCACTTTTAGGGCAAGCTCCATACCAGAAACCGGAGACTTTTTTTTTGGCCTTAACAGCTGATTGCATTTTGAAGGCCTGCAAGCCCAGTCTGATAGAAGTTTTCTATGGTAAAGCAGTACTTTATTACCTCTTGTTAGGCTCTTCTCCAGACTGGTTAAATAAACTTTGGGATTATAATTATAATGCCCAAGGGATGTTCCAATAATGAGTACACATCGGGGTGGTGAAGGCCACATTCTACACTAGGTTAACAAAAATGCGCCAATAAAAAAATGACGTTTGTGGCTGGAGAAAAAAAAATACAGTCAACTAACAAATGCTAACACTGGGAGAAGAGACCCTGGTCTATCTTTTAAGTCTTTTGTTAACACGATTTGTAGACTTATGTTTTGCTCAGCAGCTTTTCTTGCTAGCTAAGAAGATTCGCCCTGAATTGGCTTAGTGAACGGCCTTGAGGTAAAAGAGTCAGCAATATATTGCTTTATAAATGACCCACTTTGTCTGATCCCTAACTTGTAGAGAAATCCCCCATCGTCCAGTCACTGTTCGGTCAGCTTGTCCGATAGGCCGTCACCATTTCGAAACGCAGCCAGAGTGAGTTTTGAGAAAATCGCGATCAAAATAGGTTGTCATTTCTTTTCAAATCGCGACTTCCTACATATTTGTCAAAGAAATTTGAAAAAAAAATGACGAAGAGGATTGATAATCGTTATTGCATTGTTAACCTTGCAATGTGATATTTTATCGTAGCGAATTATGCATGCCTTCAAAGCATTACGCAAGTTGACATGTTGACGATTAGCTCTAAGGCTAAAGGATCATTTGCTTTCTATTGTTTTCATGTTTAACATCTGAAGCAACAAAATTACTTAAAACCTTAAACAGGTGTACAACAAACTAACCTGATGAAGATTCAGGTCAGTGGATATCATACAGTTTGTAAAAAAAAAAAAAAAAACATTTATGTAGATTTGTTTTGTTCTCGTAGGTTTAACAATACCCATTTTAGGTGGAATAATTTCACGTGCTATTACAAAAGTCATTTTTTTCACTTTGAGTAAGGTTTTTCTCATTAAACCGGTCTGTTCGTTTGCGGTTGATTACCAATGTTCCTCCCTAAGGGCCAACGATTTTCAAAGAGGCTTTTAAGTAAATATTAGGATTTTACCTTCACGGAAAAAAAACCACACAATTACAAACGATACAATACAATCGTTTGACACATATAGATTACCCAGCATCATCTTTGGCTACAAAATCATGCAGAATCCTTGAATGCCAAAACGTAATGGAGATACACTAAACCTTGCCATCGTTTTATACTATTTTGATGATCCTGAAAATGAAACAGAAATGGGTATGTGTTATAACAACAATATATATCACTGGGACATAATACTTTCTTGAACCCGAATCTGAGACGAATTAGTGGCTAGGATGAAAACAAAAATATAAAATACAAAATCAGCTAAAGGTACATATTCTTCTGGAGATTTAGTCTTTTGGATTGTTTACTTTTCATATTTAACCTGTCCCGATCACGGGAAATCCAACTAAATTCAAATGATGTCGTAAAGCCTTCTATAATACTTCGAATGGTTTGAAGTCACAGGGTCACACAAATTGAAGCAGAACCGGAGACGAATCCAGCGGACTCTCTTCACTTGCTTCTCCGAACGTAATGTCAAGCCTTCTACGCACTTTCCTACCTTTCACTGAATGTCATAGTTCCTAAAGCTGGTACTTGAAAATAGTCCTCTAGATTTGTTTTTCATTTGCCCTAATACCGCCTCCCTTTGACCCCCTCTACCGGAATCTTGCTTCCTTCTCAAGTTCAACCTTTCATAATTCAAGCGAAATGTATGGATATATTTTCTGTCACTATGACTATTTTATCCCTCCGTTCTTCCTTGTTTATTGCCCACACCTTTGAAGGTCCATATTGCTATGAATAGCTTTTCTAAGTGTCGGGAAACATCAGACTGATGTGACAATAACATTTCAACAAACAAAATATAACTGTGTTTCCACAAACCTCCCCCAAAAATAAATAACAATATATAGCTTTGTTATAACAATGTATGAACTATTCACTAGTGTAACATTGAACGAAAATGTGATTAGTGGTGGAATAGGCTAATTATTTTGAAATATTGAATTATGATACATTAGCAATATTGAAGTTATCGTATGGTAGACAGGTTCCGCCCTGTCAGATCCGATCGTGTCTTGAAGCCTTCTTTTATACAGGATGGCAGAGTTCCAAAATGTCACAGAAATTAAACTTGTGATTGACTCTTGCGATATGTCTCACGCGATTAAAAACAACATTAGTAAATAACTTGACATTAAGATCCCCATACTAATACCGTCGCCCATTATTCCATGCAAGGTTGCCCTTTGTCCCTTCTGTCCGCATGGATTTCCCAGGAATAATGGCTCCAGTAAAATCGGATTTGGTCTGGAGCATTATCCATTTGTAACTCCGCTTTGTACAATTAAAGTAGCCGGATAACGTCAGGGTTTTCCACCCATAATCGCCGTATCCTAATCCTATCCTCACAGAGGTCGGCAAGCCAAATCAGCCCCCCCCCCCACCATCCACCACTGTGTCATTGCATAAAAATCAGCAGCTGCATTTGGCCAACGTGTTTGGAGGAAGGCAAATTGATGGGGAGGGAGGCAATCCTAGTAAAACTGGTCCCAGTGTTGTAACGGATCAATGACTTTGGTAAATAAGTGACTACAGTTGAGTCGAGTCATTCGGTCAAGACAGTCGAGTCGAATCGAGTCGGCGAGTGGCATCGCAGTGTGTGTCGAGTTGAGTCGAGTCTAGTCAAATATTTAGCTCGAGTAAATTCGAGTCACGAATATTTGAACACAATATAGCAAATAAAGTGAGAAAGTTAACAATAAGTGAAACTTCGGTCTTATCACTGATCGCTGACAAAATCAAAACAAAAATTTCATCGTACAAAACAGTTTCTGATTATTTCAAAGCTGGCATGTATTCATTGTATTATTAAAAGGAGGGCATACATTCAGCCGGCGTTCAAATCGAACAGCTTAATAGGAAATCGCCCTAAGCCAATGATGAAACCACTAATTGGCGTCTGTGATACGTAATATGTTTTCTACACGACAAGCGGCCACTCTAATGTAATGTTTTCGCAAAGTTACGTAAACATAACTTTTACAAATATGAAGAAAGTGAACAAAATTATTGCAAATATCTTTGGCAAAGTTTTGCTTTCAGTTTTTGGGGCTCAAGTCTTATTAGCCTTCACTCGAGTCGACTCGTGGTTCTGATTAGGGACTCGAGTCGAGTCATTTGCTCGCAGTGACTCGAGTCGAGTCGAGTCATTTACCCGTGGATAGGGACTCGAGTCGAGTCGAGTCACCCAAAAAAAAATGTGTATCTCGAGTCGAGTCATTGACTCGAGTCATTACAACTCTGGCTGGTCCCACAACCATGTTCGGGGCCAAGTTTGAGTGTACTATCGAAGTGATTACGTAAGAACTGCCAAAACCGGTCGTTGACACAGCAAAGGGATCAAGAACGCCGATGCAAACATGGCTACCACTTACTACACACTAGTGTATTTTCTGAACATTGTTGTGTTGCTTCGTTGGAACTTTTGAAAAGAGTGTACAGGCGTGCCCTGTATTTGTATGATTACAGTCTGTCAACGTAACAGTTGACCGTCGTGAGGTAGCATAATTATATTGCCCACTTTTCCGAGCATTATTTCTTCCTTTCGAACACAAGTGCAGCAGGTAACGATTGGATCAGTTGTGCATGGCATGATCCATCATTAGGATAAGTACTGTGGTCTCGCTTGCTATTACGTAGCACTTCGATAGTGAATTAACAGGCCGTCAGTTAGTGTGTCAGTCCGATGAGATAGGTACACAATGGACTGTAACTTGTAAGCAGGTCCTTTCGGACCAGCAAATACAAGACTTGGGGCCAAGACGAGACTTAAGCAAGCTTAATTCTCAAATGACAGCGAGCGAGTTCGTCGGTCAGTCAGGCACTATGTTCAAAATGTACTGTAGGCTGGCTCTCTGGGACCATAAAAACATCTCTGTCGCACCACACCGCCTGCATTATGTCATAGCCCCCTCAACGTCTACAAAGAGAAAGGCAACTTGTACACTTACGCATCGTCCCTATCTAGTGATTGATATTAATACAAAAGAAACTGCCTTAATTGCAACCATCTTAGAGGCAGGTGCTTTTGCTCCAATGGAAAACGCATGATGAGATCTTGTGCATTGATTATTACTAACGTAAAACAGCAAAAGCACCTTTAAGATGACTGCCAAATGCAAAAGATCTATGGGCTCTTGAACCGTTTTCACCATACATTCTCTGGCGCTCACGCAAATACTAGGGCTTTACAAACTTGAGACCTAAGATCATGCTGTAATATTGACATTTGCCGCGAGGTATTTTCAGGTTGCGTTCACATGGGTTTCTGCACACCCAGAATTACCAAGTTGGCCAAGTGGTCAGAAAACGCTATTTGTTGATCATGCATAAAGTCCTTAATAAAATGAGAACAAACTTTACTCATTCGGTAACTTGATGAAGTAATGTTAGCCTGCAGTTACTATGCAAGACTATTTTTTTTTTCAAGCATTAAAGTGCAAATGCAATGTGATTTTTTAATGCAATCCTTAAAAAAATGTACCTCTGTTTTTTTTATTTTACCTTAGGCCTATTTTCAATTTTCGCTTTGCCCTTTCAAAGGTATTTTGGTGGCTTTTTTTATGCTAATGTGAATGTAGGAGTAGGTGTCTTTTGAGAGACTCCGTAGTCTTCGTGTGAGACCGTGATTTAATCATTTCTATTGATAGCGTGTAGCGACATGTCACCGCTATTCATCCACATGTAGTGCAAATAGTTTCTTTGAGGAAAAGTAATTATTTAAAACAGTTTCGACGCATCAATCCCTGATACACTTCTTTGTAAAATTTTATCAAGGTGTGAGAATGTATCCTGTAACTGTTAGAGACGCTTTTATTGAACTAATAGTATCAAGAGAGGGGTTGTGTGGCGCATTAATCTACGTGTGTTTTGCCATCTTGAAATGTGATGTGCAAGACCGTCCTTTTCGGATCAGCTGTCAATGTGTGAGTACATCGAAGAATAGTTTGTGTCCCAGAACCTACAATCCTGGCCAAATCTCACTGGGCCCCCAACCCCCAGCCCCCGCTCAGTGTTGTCTCTTATTGCGCGGTGTGGGCTCCATCCCCTGAAGAGAACAACATTGACCGGGGGAGCGGGGGAGTTGGTGACCGTTGAAGGCTAAGGTTATTTCCAAGTGTCCCAACCATTTTGGCCGGGATTGTAGCTTTTGATGATAATATTCTTAGATTTATTGCAAGATTTGTGACTCATGGTCTCACATTATTATCCCTGATACTATCGGGCAAATCTAAAGATCATGTGTTGATTGGGAAAAAAAGAGTAATTTAGGATTCATTTGTCCTCTCGATCTGTTGTAAACTTTTGTGAGTGAATCACATGGTCGTACACGGTGACTGTTTCATGTCTGTAATTTACAGTGACTGTTGTATGTCTAATCTTAGCTTTGGTTTCTTACTCCATAAAATATTTTGTGTGATAGGTTGGCGAGTTTGATGCTACAACACAAATCAGGAAATTTAGGGAAATTTAGAGAAATTAAGGAAATTAAGCGACAGTTAGGAACTTAAGTGAAACTCAACTTAGATGAATAAATGTCAAAGGGAATTTTATTAAACATCATTGTATTGAGTTCAAGATAACAGCATTTCGTACTGGAATTTAAGTTACTTGACAATTGCAGACTATGATAATCCTATATAGCCTAGCTCCTGTAACACTGGTGTATTTATTTCATGTTATACTACTTGCCATTGTGGGCACTGATTTTTATTCATTTAATTCTGCCTTGTTTATAAAACCAGACATCAATTTAAATAACTTGATATTCCAATCTGAGTAGTGAAACTGTTTGCTTCCGCTTCCAATTATTATGTTTCTGATTTTTATTTATTGCCTCAGCGTCCTAAACTCATCATTTAGCGGACTTTCCTCCGTGGTGCACATAACACTGCCCCATGGTCTCCGCGATCAGTGCATGAATTTACATATTCGTGAACAAATGTGCGATGGCACTTCAGGCAGAAAAATCCATGTTACAGTTATTTTTGCACCAAAAGTGAATTTCCAATTGTCTTTGGTAATTCGGTTTTGTGTCAGTAAATGGCAGTAAGCCGATGAGCAAACCTTCATCTCAAATGTTTTGAATGAGCAGATGTTGGGGTTAACAATTTGAGCAGAAAAACCCTAATCAGAACAATGTCTGCCTGCAATGACATCACAGCGACAACGCCCTCAGTTGTCCGGAAAAGCATTCTAAATACTTTACGTGGTTCACTTTTCAATAAAATTTACAAAAAAGGGTGTCAAATAGTTTTCATATTTTTAAGGAGTAGAAAATTGCACTAAAAATTTACCTCATGGACCCTTTAATATTAGGAGCACATGTTGGAGGCCTGTAAAATATTCGCAAGCCGTCACCAAATATTCAAATTAAATAAAAAATCCTCGTTTACACAATGCAAACATGCATGAAAATCATCTGATACAAAATATGCATCATATGCAAATACGGTTAAGTTCGGAATCGATAATATATGTTTGCATACATGCAGTCGTGGTTACAATAACAATTGATTTGAACGATAAAATCAGGCCTACAGCTCATACTACAATTCAAAATCAAAAGCAGTATGGTGCTAAAGTAAACACATAAAACTACATGATTACAACATTGCTGTATGTAAAACAAACTAGTACGGTTAAATCGCCATCAACGACAAGCGGCCACTGTAACGCACGGTATTCTTAAAGTGACGTCAACATACATTTTGCCCTACAGTAAGTCATTGCAAATATCTTTCGCAAAGTTTTGCTTTTATTTTTTGAGACTCGAGTCTTATTAGCCTTAACTCGAGTCGAGTCTTCTGATTAGGGACTCTAAGGGAAAATAAGGAAAGGTAGATATTAATATAGATATCAACCTTGAATTAAAAATCATACGGATATACACCATCATAGCAAAAACATAAGCAAAAGGTACGATTATTGATTACAACTATTTCAGGATAATAATATACATGTGTATATTTTGGCTATAAAGCACATTGTTTGATTTGCAGTGCCGATTAATATATTACTGCAAAAATACACGTACAAAGGTTAATCATAAAGATATACACCATCTAAAGGCATCCATAAAAAGTACAGATTTATATAAAAGCAAGCTGCAATGAAGCAATTGTAGGCTTTGTCGTGTCACGCTTTCAATCTACGACTGAGGAATTATTCGGAATTGATACTCCTCTCAAAGAGATACACTGAATCGTCCGTATATACCACCATTCTGTCTCTGTCTATGAACTTTACCCCACGAAGACCAAGCGTCTCAACGATGATACTATGCTCCTGCGTTCCTTTCCCGGCGTCAAGTTCCAAAATCTGCAAACACTCACCGACTTCGAGGTGGTTCACCACAAACAGTTTGTTCTCCTGCACCGTGACGTAGCCAGAGTGGAAGTTTTCCACTCCCAATAAATCTGCGTCAATCGTGAACCTAATCTGAGGGAGAATCTTGCTGTTCGTGCTGCTCTTCACGATATTGTACTTCTTGACCGCCACGCCAGAGCTGACGAACAAGCTCTGTGACTCGTGGCGCGCATGCGCGTGCAAGAACGCCGGCTCCATGCCGATTTCCATGCGCGTCAGGCAGCCGCCTCCGTTATCAAACATGGAGACCGCCTTCCCGTTTCTGTCCCCCGCAAACACGAACCCCAGACTATCAACCGACATATCAGACAGCTGGACATCTGTATGTCTTACCCGCGTCACTGAGCCGAAGTTAGTGGTCTGTCGATTATGAATATCGTAATCAACAAGCTTACCTCTACTTAACCCAAACAGAAGCCTATTGGCGGTATGATAGGTAACACTACAGTAGCCCTCGTCGGAGAATGATTGGTACAAGTCAATAAAGCGGTGAGTGTAGTCCGAGTTAAAGCGATGCAAGCCTTGTGCATCGATGACAAACAGGCCGCCATCTTGGGCACAGACGACGTCTTTGATAGCCTGGAAGCCACTTCCATTGTTGTCATCCAAAGCAGACTGGGTGACAAACTCGCCCATTGGTCGCCATTTGTTTTTACTGTCTGAAATGTAAACATTCAATGCAATTACAACAAAAGTGCATTCGACTTTTGATGATCTAGGGGGTTTCAGGTCGTAAAAGGTTTAATCAACTTGACGTAATAGCAGCACCAAGGAAATGTTACCCCAAGTATGCGTCTCCACTTTTCACCATGTTCTATGTTATGCAGGGAGGACAGATACAGATTTCTCAAAAAAAAATGGAGAAATGTTTTTAAGATATTCCTAAATTACAACACCTTGGTGGTAGTGGCAAAAACGGCGTTGAACATATAGCCTTAGTTAAGAAATGGTGGGCATTTACACAAAATGGTTGAAAACCAGTTTGTCCGCACGCACGCATGTGTACTAGTATTATGAGATATGGTCATCGTTATTTCATTCTAGTGTGCACGCAGTGCTATTGTTACGACCATCTCTCACAGACGTGTGGAAAAACTGCTTTTGACCACTTTTCTGTAAATGGTCGCCGTTGATTAATTTAGGCTTTATTCTCAACGCCTGTTTTGCACCACATACAAGAAGATGTTGTAGTCTAGGAATATATTACAACAATTTCAGCATGTCTTTCAAATTTTGAGACATCTGAAAAATGTCTTAAAAACAGTGTAAACAAACATATGGCCACCTTATACGTTGATAGGTCAGAGGGCACCCTTTGTTACGTGATTAAGTCAGAGGGCGCCTTGTTCTATGTTAGGTCAGATGTGGTCTTTAAGGCAATTCAGCAAATTTCAATAAATACCTGTTATAAGGATGTCGGAATCTCCTCTGATCACAAGACACAAAGGACCTGCCAACAAACAAAGGAAAACTCACGTCACGCATTCATAACATCAAATTTGGAATTCCAAGTGTTCCTGAATATTTTACCTCAGCTGTCTAGAAAATAATGAATACAATGTATCGATTTCTGTAAGGGATTCGCAATTAAATGTATGCACACACTCAGGGGTTCAACTTGATCTTGGTATAACTTCAAATATATCCCAAGCATCTTAACAATACAAAAAACTAACTATTTAGTTGGATTGTACCAATCAGAGAGTATGACGTGGAGTCCGATTTCCAAATGAACTTTATTCAAAATGTGTGTTTGTGAGTAGCCTTGGTCAATGCTCTCGTGGTTATTCGTCCCGTACGCGGTCAATCGTCGGCATACATGTATATCCTCACGCGCTATGCACATGCATGTAAAAATACAGCGTGAACAGCGACCTCACGCGGCCACTATTTTTATATGCAAATCAGTTGGGGACGATCGAGAGCCTTCGTTCAATCGTCCATGTGAGATGTTTTGGGGGTGGTGCTCATTATGTTAATAGCCTTAGCTGACCTTAAATGTCGTTTTCTTATTGGTCAATCGTTGCGTGGAAACTTGCATAGTGAAACGTGGCACCGTACATAATCCATACACGTACACGTTCTGTGTCTCTGCACACGGCACCAATGCACAAAAACTGTGGTTCATGTCACGTCTGCAAAAGGCGTATAGCTGCAAATAATTTGATGACGTCCGGATATACCAAGGTGTTATTGGACACTCCACATATTAGCCCCGCCTACCCAGCTAACACATCACGTTGCCGCAACGTTGTGCAAAGTTGGAAAATGTTGTCATTTGGTAACGTGTCACGATGACATTCAAGCAACGTTGACACAACGTTTGACTGTATAATAATTGGTTGTAAAAATGTTGTATATCGGTAATTTGTACAACGTTGTACGAAAGTCATTATATGACATTATATTGACGTTGTATGGTGGTCGTTTCACAATCGTTGTAATAAAGTAATAAATATGACGTTGTGGTTACGTTGAATGTACGTGTTTTCATGACGTTGTTTTTAAGTTGTCAATGTTACGTTGTCAGAACGTTGTAATTTAGAATGTTTACAACGTTGCTGTGAGGATATAATCATGACGTTGAGTTAACGTTCCATCTACGTTATTTTATAACTTTTTTTTAGTTGTGAAAATCACATTGACACGACGTAGTTTGGTATTTCAAAACGTTGCTGTGATGAAATAATCATGACGTTGTTGTAACATTGTATGTGGGTACTTTCACAACGTTGTTGGTATGTTGTTAATCTCACGTTGTCATGACGTTGTAGATAAAAATTTACACCACGTTGATGTGTTCATGACGTTATGATGACGTTGCATAAAAGTCTCATCGTAATGTCGTTGTTAAGTTGTAAATATCATGTTGTCGTGACATTGCAGTTTGGTATTTTCACAGCGTTGCTGCTATGTTGTGAACGTGAGCGTTGCTGTAACGTTTTATAAAGGTGTTTTGACACTGAATTTAAGTTGCAATTATGCTGTGGGTTACGATCCATGCTGTTGTGGTATTGAAAAAACATTGTGATTAAGATTTACTGAATGTGAAGTGAACATAATGTTTTAATTAATAATGTTTTATTTGATAATTATTAACATTTGGGTGCCGCCTTGCATTAAAAATGTAACTCATGAAATTTTGAACATCATCATGTTTGTTTTGTCGTAGTAGGAATATAATGTTTCCAGATATTTTTCTACTGGTCTAAGATGGATGAGATCGTGGTCAAAGCGCGACTGTTTCCCGCTCATATTCATTGTTGTATACTCAATGTATATACATGTACATTTACGTTATTGCACACACCAACGTAACTTGAAATATGATTTCGGTTCTCAAAGAAAATATTACCATGGCGCATGCGCATCAGCAGAAATTCCACGTCCAGACCGCGTGATACCTCATTTGATCGCTCTGCTCAGTCGATCGAGTCAGCGATCTAGCAGCAGCAGCTCACTACATGTATAACGGTCGCCGACTCGCCGTCCTTAGCCATGGTCGCCAGGCAAGTTATTTTCACTAAACAGCATTTCTTAGAAGGTAGGAATGACATTTTCTGTATCTTGACTTCATTCTTGTGTCGAGCACGATCGCCATCCTCTTTTTTCGAAAATAAACAAAAGTAAGGGGTTAGGCCCCAAAAAAATAAGTCGGTCTCTGGTCAGCGAGCGCGTCGATTTTAATCATGCGCGTCAATCCTTTTTTTTTTCTCAAAAATTTTCTGCGGTAGCTCCAACAGCGCCCTGTATTGCCGCACCTCCTCAATTTTTTTTTACCAAAGAGCACCAAGGAATGGGAAATTGCACCAAGGCAAATGATCGAGAGCACCAAGGCAAATTATGGAGGACACCAGTGTACATGAGGACACCAAATAGCAAAATAGTACCCCACCTTGTCCGTACAATCCAAGCTTGAAAAAAAAAAAAGCCAAAAAAAAATTAAAAAGACACGTCCCCGCGTCAATTCCGGAACTTTGGTCTGACCAGAGACCAAATATTTTTGTTTGTTGGCCTTAGTCTTGCTTTTTTATCGAAATTGGGTTTAATTTGTCTCTTTTCGAAAATTAACAAAAGAAAGGGGTCAGCCTTGAAGTTTTGTCTTAATCGGGCATAATTTGTCTTTTTTTCCCGAAAATTAACAAAAGCATTGGGTGAGCCTTGCATTTTTATCTAAATCGGGAAAATTAGTCTTTTTTTCGAAAACTAACAAAAGTTAGGGGTAAGACTTAAATTTTTTTCAAAATTGGGCATAATTTTTTTTTTCAAAAATTAACAAAAGTAAGGGGTAAGCCTTGCAATTTTATCAAAATTCGGAAAAATTTGACTTTTTTTCCAAAATTAACAAAAGTAAGCGGTAAGCCTTGCATTTTTATTAAATTTGAGCATAATTTGCCTTCTTTTCGAAAATTAACAAAACTAAGGGGATAGCTTTGCTATTTGTATCAAAACTGGGCAAAAATTTGACTTAATTACATTATGAGATTAAATTTCATGAGAAACCATCAAACAACGAAAAAAGAGCATACGCCAAAAAAATTTAGTATTTTAAACGTGAAAAATACAAACCCGATGAAAAATGGAAAGTCAAGGCCCATGGAAAAATAATAATAAACTCGTTGTTTGAGCAATAACCCGAGCTCACCAGGTCAGGCTATATTAAGTTGTAAGTTCATCAAGTGATTGGTCTTGATGTCTTACATGAGGAGATTACATTTCGTGAGAAATCGTCAAACAACTAAAAAAAATCTTTCGAGAAAGGGCGCGCTGAATAAAACAAGTGATCTCGCACCGCCAAGACATAATACATCTGCACGCCGTAGAATATTTTAAGTTTCGTTCAATAGAGGGCGCGCCACATAAATAGTGGTCTCAACAACGCATCAACATGGATGCTGGAAAAATTGAACAAAAAGAACAAACTCGTTTCCGATGAACTACTCGAGAAATACGAAACGGATTCAATTGAAATTTGGTACAATTAGTTTTCACGATGTGTAGCAGAAGTGGTTTGAATGGCGTGAGAAACTGTGGCGCTATAAATATAATATGATCGTAACAATCTAGTGTTTGAAAAGCTAGAAATCCACGTTGACTTCCATTAGGATTGTATTGGTCGCGATTAAAACCCTGTATTGTTACGGTCATAATGGCTTGATTGTTTGACCTTTTCTTCTGAAATTAAATCTGTTCATGTTAAACATCATGACAAATGAGTGCACAAAATTCATTTTTATGTAACGTGTTTTTCCTGAGTTATTTAAACATATAGCTCGTCTGAGTGGTAAAAATTGAAGTACGCGTTTCAACTTCGCCATCCCTTTTTTCGAAAATAAACAAAAGTAAGGGGTTAGTCTTGCTTTTGTATCGAAATTGGGTTTAATTTGTCTCTTTTCGAAAATTAACAAAAGCAAGGGGTCAGCCTTGAAGTTTTATCTGAATCGGGCATAATTTGACTTTTTTTTCGAAAATTTACAAAAGCAAGGGGTGAGCCTTGCATTTTTATCTAAATCGGGAAAATTAGTCTTTTTTTCGAAAATTAAGAAAAGTAAGGGGTAAGACTAACATTTTTTTGAAAATTGGGCATAATTTTTTTTTTGAATAATTGAATTTCATGAGAAACCATCAAACAATGAAAAAAGAGCATACCCCAAACAAATTTGGTATTTTAAACGTGAAAAATACAAAACTCGTTTCCGATGACCTACTCAAGAAATACGAAACGGATTCAATTGAAATTTGGTACAATTAGTTTTCACGATGTGTAGCAGAAGTGGTGTGAATGGCGTGAGAAACTGTGGCTCTATAAATATAATATGATCGTAACAATCTAGTGTTTGAAAAGCTAGAAATGCACGTTGACTTCCATTAGGATTGTATTGGTCGCGATTAAAACCCTGTATTGTTACGGTTATAATGGCTTGATTGTTTGACCTCTTCTTCTGAAATTAAATCCGTTCATGTTAAACATCATGACAAATGAGTGCACAAAAATTCATTTTTATGTAACGTGCTTTTCTTGAGTTATTTAAAAATATAGCTCGTCTGAGTGGTAAACATTGAAGTACGCGTTTCAACTTCGCCATCCCTTTTTTCGAAAATAAACAAAAGTTAGGGGTTAGTCTAGCTTTTTTATCGAAATCGGGCATAATTTGACTTTTTTTTCCGAAAATTAACAAAAGCAAGGGATGAGCCTTGATTTTTTATCTAAATCGGGCATAATTTGACTTTTTTTTTCGAAAATTAACAAAAGCAAGAGGTGAGCCTTGCATTTTTATCTCAATCGGGAAAATTAGCCTTTTTTTCGAAAATTAAGAAAAGTAAGGGGTAAAAATTTCATTTTTTTCAAAATTGGGCATAATTTTTTTTTTCAAAAATTAACAAAACTAAGGGGTAAGCCTTGCAATTTTATCAAATTGGGCAAAATTTGACTTTTTTTCCAAAATTAACAAAAGTAAGCGGTAAGCCTTGCATTTTTATTAAATTTGAGCATAATTTGCCTTCTTTTCGAAAATTAACAAAACTAAGGGGATAGCCTTGCTATTTGTACCAAAACTGGGCAAAGTTTGACTAAATTACATTATGAGATTGAATTTCATGGGAAACCATCAAACAATGAAAAAAGAGCATACCCCAAGCAAATATAGTATTTTAAACGTGAAAAATACAAACCCGATGAAAAATGGAAAGTCAAGGCCCATGGAAAAATAATAATACACTCGTTGTTTGAGCAATAACCCGAGCTCACCAGGTCAGGCTATATTAAGTTGTAAGTTCAGCAAGTGATCGGTCTTGATGTCTTACATGAGGAGATTACATTTCGTGAGAAACCGTCAAACAACTAAAAAAAAATCTTTCGAGAAAGGGCGCGCTGAATAAAACAAGTGATCTTGCACCGCCAAGACATAATACATCCGCACGCCGTAGAATATTTTAAGTTTCTGTAGTGAGACGTCTTTTACGAGGCACCGTACAATTGGCACACAGCCCAGAAAAATGTATACAAACGCGCACTCACTGCCGTGAACGCGCGAACATCAGCCCTTTTCTGCCTGCACACCAAAGTGTGAGTATCGTGTACAAAACTTGTGCTTGAAACCAACATTTTAGTTTCAAATAAGCGAAATTTGTATTATCTTTACATTCTAATGTCACAATGCAAGTTCTCTGCTACCGCTGGGCTAGGTGTTAGTTTATTTCATGTTGACAAAAGGAGTGATTTTGGGGTGAATTAGTCTTCTTTATCTCAAAGTTTTAATCACCGTGTGTCACATGCTGATTAATTGCAATACGACTGTTTCATGTCAGGTGCAATATGGAGGCCTAGTTCACAACACAGCCGTACACTTGCCAGGCGTTCGGGGAACTTCGGGGAACCTGATTAAAATATTAGAACCAGTGAATCTTAGGAACCTCACTTTGAATTTGGGAACTGTAGAAATACAACCTTTGTGATTTAATATATTTTATCATTGGCAACTGTGTCACAATTTATAGAGCTAGAAACTGAATGTATTATCTGATCAATACTTTTTGTAACAGTTGTTTTTGTGAGTTTAAATTGAGATCATGTGTTAATTTAAACTATTGTAATCGATTTTTGTGAACAAGTTCATGAGACCAAGCATAATTTGACTCCTGTTTTGATTTGTTTCTTTTGATCTTGATATGTCCTTGGCGTCCTTAAATCTAATCATTTGAGCGGACCTCCTTACTGGCGTACCGCTACATTTCGTTCAATAGAGGGCGCGCCACATAAATAGTGGTCTCAACAACGCATCAACATGGATGCTGAAAATTGAACAAAAAGAACAAAGTCGTTTCCGATGAACTACTCAAGAAATACGAAACGGATTCAATTGAAATTTGGTACAATTAGTTTTCACGATGTGTAGCAGAAGTGGTTTGAATGGCGTGAGAAACTGTGGCGCTATAAATATAATATGATCGTAACAATCTAGTGTTTGAAAAGCTAGAAATCCACGTTGACTTTCATTAGGATTGTATTTGTCGCGATTAAAACCCTGTATTGTTACGGTCATAATGGCTTGATTGTTTGACCTTTTCTTCTGAAATTAAATCTGTTCATGTTAAACATCATGACGAATGAGTGCACACAAATTCAATTTTATGTAACGTTTTTTTCTTGAGTTATTTAAATATATAGCTCGTCTGAGTGGTAAAAATTGAACTACGCGTTTCAACTTCGCCATCTCTTTTTTTCGAAAATGATCAAAAGTAAGGGGTTAGTCTTGCTTTTTTATCGAAAGTGGGTTTAATTTGTCTCTTTTCGAAAATTAAAAAAAGCAAGGGGTCAGCCTTGAATTTTTATCTAAATCGGGCATAACTTGTCTTTTTTTTCGAAAATTAACAAAAGCAAGGGGTGAGCCTTGCATTTTTATCTAAATCGGGAAAATTAGTCTTTTTTTCGAAAATTAACAAAAGTAAGGGGTAAGACTTACATTTTTTTCAAAATTGGGCACAATTTTTTTTCCCAAAAATTAACAAAAGTAAGGGGTAAGCCTTGCAATTTTATCAAAATTGGGCAAAATTTGACTTTTTTTCCAAAATTAACAAAAGTAAGCGGTAAGCCTTGCATTTTTATTAAATTTGAGCATAATTTGCCTTCTTTTCGAAAATTAAAAAAACTAAGGGGATAGCCTTGCTATTTGTATCAAAACTGGGCAAAATTTGACTTAATTACATTATGAGATTGAATTTCATGAGAAACCATCACGCGATGAAAAAAGAGCATACCCCAAACAAATATAGTATTTTAAACGTGAAAAATACAAACCCGATGAAAAATGGAAAGTCAAGGCCCATGGAAAAATAATAATACACTCGTTGTTTGAGCAATAACCCGAGCTCACCAGGTCAGGCTATACTAAGTTGTAAGTTCAGCAAGTGATCGGTCTTGATGTCTTACATAAGGAGATTACATTTCGTGAGAAACCGTCAAACAACTAAAAAAAATCTTTCGAGAAAGGGCGCGCTGAATAAAACGAGTGATCTCGCACCGCCAAGACATAATACATCCGCACGCCGTAGAATATTTTAAGTTTCGTTCAATAGAGGGCGCGCCACATAAATAGTGGTCTCAACAACGCATCAAAATGGATGCTGGAAAATTGAACAAAAAGAACAAACTCGTTTCCGATGAACTACTCAAGAAATACGAAACGGATTCAATTGAAATTTGGTACAATTAGTTTTCACGATGTGTAGCAGAAGTGGTTTGAATGGCGTGAGAAACTGTGGCGCTATAAATATAATATGATCGTAACAATCTAGTGTTTGAAAAGCTAGAAATCCACGTTGACTTCCATTAGGATTGTATTTGTCGCGATTAAAACCCTGTATTGTTACGGTCATAATGGCTTGATTGTTTGACCTTTTCTTCTGAAATTAAATCTGTTCATGTTAAACATCTTGACAAATGAGTGCACAAAAATTCATTTTTAAGTAACGTGTTTTTCTTGAGTTATTTAAATATATAGCTCGTCTGAGTGGTAAAACTTGAACTACGCGTTTCAACTTCGCCATCCCTTTTTTCGAAAATAAACAATCGTAAGGGGTTAGTCTTGCTTTCTTACCGAAATTGGGTTTAATTTGTCTCTTTTCGAAAATTAACAAAAGCAAGGGGTCAGCCTTGAAATTTTTATCTAAATCGGGCATAATTTGTCTTTTTTTTTCGAAAATTAACAAAAGCAAGGGGTGAGCCTTGCATTTTTATCTAAATCGGGAAAATTAGCCTTTTTTCGAAAATTAACAAAAGTATGGGGTAAGACTTACATTTTTTTCAAAATTGGGCATATTTTTTTTTTTTCAAAATTTAACAAAACTAAGGGGTAAGCCTTGCAATTTTATCAAAATTGGGCAAAATTTGACTTTTTTTCCTAAATTAACAAAAGAAAGCGGTAAGCCTTGCATTTTTATTCAATTTGAGCATAATTTGCCTTCTTTTCGAAAATAAACAAAACTAAGGGGATAGCCTTGCTATTTATATCAAAACTGGGCAAAATTTGACTTAATAACATTATGAGGTTGAATTTCATGAGAAACCATCAAACAATGAAAAAAGAGCATACCCCAAACAAATATAGTATTTTAAACGTGAAAAATACAAATCCGATGAAAAATGGAAAGTCAAGGCCCATGGAAAAATAGTAATACACTCGTTGTTTGAGCAATAACCCGAGCTCACCAGGTCAGGCTATATTAAGTCGTAAGTTCAGCAAGTGATCGGTCTTGATGTCTTACATGAGGAGATTACATTTCGTGAGAAACCGTCAAACAACTGAAAAAAATCTTTTGAGAAAAGGGCGCGCTGAATAATCAAAGTGGTCTCGCACTGCCAAGACATAATACATCCGCACGCCGAAGAATATTTTAAGTTTCGTTCAATAGAGGGCGCGCCACATAAATAGTGGTCTCAACAACGCATCAACATGGATGCTGGAAAATTGAACAAAAAGAACAAACTCGTTTCCGATGAACTACTCAAGAAATACGAGACGGATTCAATTGAAATTTGGTACAATTAGTTTTCACGATGTGTAGCAGAAGTGGTTTGAATGGCGTGAGAAACTGTGGCGCTATAAATATAATATGATCGTAACAATCTAGTGTTTGAAAAGCTAGAAATCCACGTTGACTTCCATTAGGATTGTATTTGTCGCGATTAAAACCCTGTATTGTTACGGTCATAATGGCTTGATTGTTTGACCTTTTCTTCTGAAATTAAATCTGTTCATGTTAAACATCATGACAAATTAGTGCACAAAAAAATATTTTAATGTAACGTGTTTTTCTTGAGTTATTTAAATATATAGCTCGTCTGAGTGGTACAAATTGAACTACGCGTTTCAACTTCGCCATCCCTTTTTTTTCGAAAATAAACAAAAGTAAGGTGTTAGTCTTGCTTTTTTATCGAAATTGGGTTAATTTGTCTCTTTTTGAAAATAAACAAAAGCAAGGGGTGAGCCTTGAATTTTTATCTAAATCGGGCATAATTGGTCTTTTTTTTTTCGAAAATTAACAAAAGCAAGTGGTGAGCCTTGCATTTTTATCTAAACCGGGAAAATTAGCCTTTTTTCCCAAAATTAACAAAAGTAAGGGGTAAGAATTACATTTTTTTCAAAATTGGGCATATTATTTTTTTTTCAAAAATTAACAAAAGTAAGGGGTAAGCCTTGCAATTTTATCAAAATTGGGCAACATTTGACTTTTTTCCAAAATTAACAAAAGTAAGCGGTAAGCCTTGCATTTTTATTCAATTTGAGCATAATTTGCCTTCTTTTCGAAAATTAACAAAACTAAGGGGATAGCCTTGGTATTTGTATCAAAACTGGGCAAAATTTGACTTAATTACATTATGAGATTAAATTTCATGAGAAACCATCAAACAATGAAAAAAGAGCATACCCCAAATAAATATAGTATTTTGAACCTGAAAAATACAAACCCGATGAAAAATGGAAAGTCAAGGCCCATGGAAAAATAATAATACACTCGTTGTTTGAGCAATAACCCGAGCTCACCAGGTCAGGCTATATTAAGTTGTAAGTTCAGCAAGTGATCGGTCATGATGTCTTACATGAGGAGATTACATTTCGTGAGAAACCGTCAAACAACTAAAAAAAATCTTTCGAGAAAGGGCGCGCTGAATAAAACAAGTGATCTCGCACCGCCGAAACATAATACATTCGCACGCCGTAGAATATTTTAAGTTTCGTTCAATAGAGGGCGCGCCACATAAATAGTGGTCTCAACAACGCATCAACATGGATGCTGGAAAATTGAACAAAAAGAACAAACCCGTTTCCGATGAACTACTCAAGAAATACGAAACGGATTCAATTGAAATTTGGTACAATTAGTTTTCACGATGTGTAGCAGAAGTGGTTTGAATGGCGTGAGAAACTGTGGCGCTATAAATATAATATGATCATAACAATCTAGTGTTTGTAAAGCTAGAAATCCACGTTGACTTCCATTAGGATTGTATTTGTCGCAATTAAAACCCTGTATTGTTACGGTCATAATGGCTTGATTGTTTGACCTTTTCTTCTGAAATTAAATCTGTTCACGTTAAACATCATGACAAATGAGTGCACAAAAAATTATTTTAATGTAACGTGTTTTTCTTGAGTTATTTAAATATATAGCTCGTCTGAGTGGTACAAATTGAACTACGCGTTTCAACTTCGCCATCCCTTTTTTTTCGAAAATAAACAAAAGTAAGGGGTTAGTCTTGCTTTTTTATCGAAATTGGGTTAATTTGTCTCTTTTTGAAAATTAACAAAAGCAAGGGGTGAGCCTTGAATTTTTATCTAAATCGGGCATAATTTGTCTCTTTTTTTCGAAAATTATAAAAAGCAAGTGGTGAGCCTTGCATTTTTATCTAAATCGGGAAAATTAGTCTTTTTTTCGAAAATTAACAAAAGTAAGGGGTAAGACTTACATTTTTTTCAAAATTGGGCATACTTTTTTTTTTTTCAAAAATTAACAAAAGTAAGGGGTATACACTTATCTGTATTCGCATACGAGGTCGTGCGCTAGAAATCCAGCGCAAAATAAAGAAAAACATAAGCTTTTGCCGACGATTGAACCAAGGCTCGAGATCGTCCCCAACTGATTTGCATAAACAAATAGTGGCCGCATGATGTCGCTGTTCGCGCTGTATTTTTACATGCACGTGCATAGCGCGTGAGGATATATGCCGACGATTGACCGCGTACGGGACGAATAACGACGAGAGCATTGACCAAGGCTAGACTGTGAGGAGAAATGCAACTTAAGTTAGACGCACCTTCTTCTGCCCCGTCCGATACACCTCTTTCTTCGGTTTCCTTCGTCAGCATGGGCGAAATTTCTGTCTGAGCTTCTGTAAAAGACAATTCGAAACCATATAGAACTCAACATTATCAACATAGCAAAAGGATCGAAGGGTGTGATGTGACAGGTCGGGAACCATAATCAACCACAAATCTCGAGTCACAACAAGGATCTGATTCCTGAGCTTTATCAAATAATTATGTTCATTATAATCACGTCGGCAAGGAAACTGTATAGAACTTGAAGAACAAAATCTTTATATAGGTTTACAGTTAGGCTTTATATTACTGTGCAGTATTTAGGAATGTTCTCAGAAAAAGAAATCATACACTGAGTTTGTGTCAAGTGATACTTAGTTAATACTTACCAGTATTGTCCTCAGTTGAGGACATGGAGTCCAGTTTTGCGCTTAGCACATTCTCATCGGAATCAGCACATGTATCTATTTCAAAATAATGGAAAATTACAAAGAGCAATGAAGACTTCTCCAACCAAAAAAAATAGCATGTAACCGACAAGGTCTTTCAAAATTTAAATTAATTTCCAGGATGTGGACCACCAAAGAAAAGTCAAGGGTTCGGGAAAAGGTTTGTTTCAGCAAGAGTTGACAGGGTGACAACAAGTGGGAAGCAAAGTCTTCATTTACAAGATTGTTTTCCCGTTAACTCTATGTGTTGAGATTATAACCGTATCGGTGTCACATGAAATGTTGACTCCTGTGAAATCCGGTCCGTGTTTTTACCTCAAAATTATGGACTGTAGACTTCACACGTGACCTTTGTCTTTCCTAATTATCTTCATTACGGTAGCGCAATACAACCATCCTGTGAAATACGGACTCCTAGGAGGAGTCCTAGGAGTCCGTATAAAGGAGTCCGTATTTCACAGAGTCCACATTTCACACTACTCCGGGTTTATACCGGATATTAAGTTGCAAGGTAGAGCAGGTGAGATCTTACTCAACCTGCTCTCCCACCTTCGAATTCCACAACAAATGGATCGAGAACCCACCTATACATATAACGGTCTTAAGTCTATGGAGTAACAGCGCCCTCTCTTCCCTGTGCGCGAATCTAATAAAATCACATACCGCACGCACAACGCAGACGTGCCACCATGTAGACCTCGCTGCCATTTTGTAAGTGGGCAAAAAAATACTCCGATGTGAACACTTCAGGATTGACTGCAATGCGTGTCTTGTTGTTTTACTGTTGGTTCCACTTATAAATCCCCCCGACGATGCCTTGATTTACCGTGCTGACGTTATGTGTTGTGCGCATGTGCTTTGCACACTTTTTAATATAACTCTATGATACTGACCAACCTTGTTTCGTATTGGCCATCTCCAGGTCTGTTACTTCCTCGCCCTTTCGTTGACAGGGGAATGTAGCGAGGTCATCGATGTGAGTCTTGATGAATCTCCGATTCCTCGGGAAGATCAGAATAAACCAGAAGATGAGAAGATGAATCAGGAAAGCCATTATAAAAGTGAGAAAAATAACCATGGTCCACTTGCAGTCGCAGTCAGCCTGATTACTTGGTGTCACCGGGGAAGCTGATGTGGTAGCTACACTGTCATCACCTGAAGATAATTACAAAACATGCAAAATCGGATTAACGGCGTTACACCCTCGTGTTAGAATGGGAGTGAAGACCAGCTTCATTCATTAAAATGAAATTCCAATTACCAAACGAAGTCAGTGCTTTTGAGGGTAACATGGATTATGTAGCTTTGCAGAACCAGTGATATCGGAGTCAAAATTTGGTTTGAAAAGAAAGATTCCTGCAATCTGTGTGTATGTTCTGGTTTTGCTGTTGTACTTGATTTTGTTGCAACAATGATTGCCATCGGCAAGCAGTCACAATTTGACACTTTCAATAGTTTGCGTACTGACTGATTGTGTGAATTAGCTTTAGATTAATTGATAAATGCATGCAAAGTGTAATTGTTGTTTTTGTAGGTCAGTATACCTAATTCGAGACATGAGCAATATTTATGAGATACAAGTATCCTTACGTGTAATGTAGACATCTGACTTAGAAGTCTGGCCATTAATGGCGTCGCCGTAGGCACTGCACGAGAATTCACACTCTCCCTTGAATACAGCCTCTACAATGTAGAGCCTAGACGTCACATCATAACTCTGACCACTTGAAAAGTACGTCGAAGACTCGGTCTGGACGAAAGTGGGTGTGCCGTCCTCCTCGCAGTTCACAAGTGACCAATTGAGGGCGGGCTGGGGGTAGACGTCACGGATGGAGCAATCATACCGTGCGCAGTCTCTCTCGAGTGTAAGGGTCAGATCACATCTTTTCTGGTCCGTTGACTCACATCCAGATATCGAGGGATACTGCTGCTTTGCTTCAGCTGTTAACGACAATTTTACACAAGGAGAACATTCATTTCATGAATACTCAAAAACTCTTTATACATTCCGAGCTTGTTGAACGTTAACTAACATACCATCTCAATTCTGGGTAGTATGTGTAGAGCTTCCACAAATATAGTTATTTAAAGTTCGATAAATCTTGGAGCATTGCAGTCATCTAGGCTAATTGACATGACTGTAAGATTAGAGGAACCATATATCGATGAATCTGGTTGTCCGAAAAACGGATGATTAACCCCGTTCCAGAACGGGTAATGCATCTGTGCTTTCATAGGATTCCTGAAATGGGGCCACTGTTCAGTTTGTGAAGCAGCAGCAGCAATAACATTACAAATTAGCAACAAATGTTTACCTAACCAAGTAACTCGGACGCAGCCTGTCCTTAGGTCCATGCTTTTTTCGAAAACATGGCAGCAGTATCGCTCCTCTCGTCTCTCGAACTCATCCACCGCTAATCCATTACTGCCAACTTCCTCGTAGTTGTGAAACGTGAGCCTCTCGCCCCCAGAAAACATGGCGAAGATGATATCATGATTTTTGGTCGTGTCATTGTAAACTGACCAGTAGAGTGTGATGTCGGTCATGGCCGGTGCCTCTGCAAGAACTGGACATTTCACGATGTTGTCACCTTCATGACTTTGAAGGGTGGTTACATTGCTGGCTGTGGATTCACTTTCTCTAGGAAATGTGGTGTCTGTAGAAGGATACAACAACCAATCAAGCCATTAGAATAATGAATTCAGTGAATATCATTGTTTTTTTAATTTGTGGTCCTGAACTTGATGTAACGGTTTTGGTGAAATTATTTAGTTAGTAATTAGCTTTGAGTCATTATACAAATGCTAACTGCATTCTGAATTTAAGTAACCAATCCTTGGTTATCGGTATAATTGGTTATGCATAACAAACATTGAAATGAAGTCATCACAGATTAATCACGTCAAGATGAGTTGCTACAAGTCATCACAAGTTACTACAAGTAACCACGAATCAACAACAGACATTATAAAAGCTATTTATAAGTCAACTAGTACTGCGAACCATTTGAAAGTAAGCATAAGGCATCACAATCCAACACTAGCCATCACAATTCGGCACATTCACCACAAGTCAAATAATCATAAAGAAAGTCATCACAAGTTAATCAATCCACACAAATTATATTCATTCAGTTGCAGCCGGGTCAACACATGTCATCACAAGTTAACATTAGTCTTTATACGTTAACCATAGGCCATCACACGTTTACCGGCATTTGTGACTGTTGGAGTACATTGCCATCGAAATGTGATAGCATAAACTTGTAATTAATTAACGATTGCATACAATTTTCTAAAACCTACCTAACACTGTTACATCCAGATAGTCTTCCACAATTTGATTGGTAGATTTCCGCACGGTTTTACACCAATACCAATCGGTGTCATTCGAGTTCACCGGATCAATGATGATTCCGTAGGAAGTCGAAATCTGGTACCGGTCATCCTCTGCAAAGTTCAGACCATCGTTTGGATACGACTGGCGGAGGATGAGCGTTCGTAAGGCGGCGTCCAGACTCTCTCCTTTAAACCAGAAGACGATTGATACCGACTCATCAGGTCGAATGACTGCGCATGGAAGGTGGTAGGCGTGGTCAGTTTGGAGGTAGGCCTTGCGTTCACTAACGTACAGTGGACTCTCAGCTGCATCTGTGTAACGTGCAGATATATAAACAAGTTTCAGTTAAATATAAAACTCATTCAATTTTGGGGTGCTTGAGCAAATGCGCACAATCGAAATGAGGCGAAAGATTTTATGAGTCCTTAAATTATTGTTTTTTTCATTGACGATATGAACAGTTTACTGGGTGTTAATTTGTAGCATGTTGAATGGTACAGTGCCTGAGAAAGAGCGACCTCACTCGTTCTGTTCTAACTGTTATGTGTTTGTACAAAAATGACAAAGCTTATTTGCATTCTTATGTTAAGTTGACCTTCGTGCTTCACGTCTTCATTGACATGAGAAATTTAGTTCTATAGCCCACCATTTGCCACTTTACAAGAGACTCGAGCTAATATTGTACAATTTCATACTTTTCTATCGTAATATCGTATAATTGTAAGCTTCTTGTTCAATGTCTGGGTGTATGGTTATAGGGGTGTTTGCACCAATGTATAAATATGCAGACAAGTGACCCGGCAGCTACTGTAGATTCAATACTTTTTTCGGTCTTTTAGGAAGTCGTCCTTCAACTAAGCACACCCATTGTGATAAAACATTTCACTTATTTTTGTCACCTGTACCAGCTATAGCTGTTACCATCAAAATACAAAAAGTCAATAACAATGTGTTTACCCACGCGGAAATGACTGCACTGTGTACTATTTTGGGTGCATCCTTTTACCAAGTTGCTGTATTTCTTTGTACAGTCAATATATTCAAAAACAGACAGCAAGCCGTTTTAAATATTGTCAGTGCTCAGACCTTATCATTATTTCCAAGTAGGAACTCCATCTATATGTCATATGAAGTAAACGGAGTTATATGTTTTTATTGTGTGTAAAGCTTGAAAAGAACATTCTTTCTTTAAATGCTCCTGGCATATACAATATTTATTTCTGAGGCTTTCTCACTCAGGTTGGGTTTCATGTGGAGATCATCTAATTGATCTTCTCTTTATTTTGAAGAGCTAGATTAAAATCAGTGGAAAAAATATAGCTTCATAATCCTGCAAATCATGCATTGTGTGTATTTTTTCTTGTGCTCATCTGTATACGTCCACCATTATTACACGGTGTTCGGGTGTTTTTTTTTCCACAAGAGGACCGGATCCCCTTTGCCGTCCAGGTCCTCATATTGTACATAACAAAGATGACATTGATCCTTGTGTATTTCCTTTATACCAGCCTTTATATGAGAAGCACATTCAATATGTCTGAAAGTGCAGGCCTGTATTTTTCTGTTTCAAGAGCAAAGTGTGGTTCACCTTCTTGTTATTTAAATTCCTTGTATTTATTGTGTCGTCGCACAGTAACGATACTAACAACCGACTGCAGTGATTTTTGAAAAAAACATCGTTTCTTACCACTTCTTTTCTCTCTCCCAATTGAAACATTCATATCGCTGCCCTTCACTGGCATACCTCCCTCGATATTCTGCTGTGAGAATCCGGGTATCCTGTCCAGAGTACGAAGGATCACCAACAGTGCAGCCACAATTCTCATCTTGACACGATCTACAATGTGAACAACATAAAAACAGGTTTGTCATTCCGAAAGAATGTAGTCGTAACAACCTACCGTTGATATATATATATGTCAATCACCAGTAAGTGAGCATACAAGTTAGCAAATTATATTACATGTACACACGGAAATACTTCCATGAACATACTTGTAGGCATGTACAGATCTAGAAAACTAAATATTTCCGGCTTGCTCAATAAAACTAAAACCACTTGATGTAAAGACTCACCTTTGGTCAATACATGTAAACCATTCCAGTGGTTTGGGAGTATTAATTGGCCCTTTGTGAGTAAAACAACCACGCAATCTTTTTATATGATTCACGAACCGAGCCGATATTTTGGGAATTCCCAGTCTAGGCCGTTTAGCGCCAAACAAGGTCACGTTTTTGTATTATCAACGACGACAAAAGACGACCTTTGAATCCACTATGAAGTCTCCGCGTCGTGTGTGACTGTGTGTGTTTGTGCGAGGGGGGGGGGGGTTCAGGTTCTGTGAGCCGAGTGCGTACGTGTTCTTGGTCGTAGGCCTAATCGGCAACCGAGAATATTTCCGCGGGTCACTGAACTAGATTTGGAATACGCCCTCTTTAAGATTTTATGTTTTACGTAGGATGGACCACAGTATAACAATTACCGCAGGCACCAGTATTGATAAAATTCCAATACCTCCACCAAAAAAAAAAAAAAAATAATAATAATAATCAGAACTTTCACAGGCGTTCAAGCTGCACAGCAAAATGATGATCAGCATGCCATCTTTCATTTCTTTTCATTTTTTTGAGGGGTTTACAATTGGCAATTTTGGAGAAAATATTACCCAAAAAGAACATCCCAAAAACTGTTATGTTTCCCAAACTGCAAATTTGAAAGATACAAAATCCCTCCTCGACATGACGAAAAACGCCACTTTCGGACCCAATTGCATCCTAAATGCTCAGAATTGGAAGCCCAAGTCCAGGCCCGAGGTGCGCAGTGCCATATGCCTATATTTCCCCAATTACATATGGCTCTCAGAACTCAATAAAATAATTTGAGTGTATAACTTTTATTCATGAGCTCGGTGGACAAATTTTTTTTCCTAAAGCAGCCTACATGTACTGGTCATGAAGCGCGCCATCTACGTTCACGAACAGACTTTAGTGATTTTAGGAGTCTACGAATCCCGCCTTTGACTTCGAATCCAACGCAACATAGGAATCCTAAAACCTTTCAATCATTGGGCATTACGCCAACGAAGTACTGGCCTTGCATTACTTGTGCTGTAGCGGAACATTTACAGTTAATTGTTCAGTAGTTTGTCGCGTAGGCCTAATTAGGGGGCTTAAGCCAAAAAAAAGAAATTTGCGTCAACCTTTTTTTCCCCTTCAAATTAACACGGAAGTTACAACGTAATAGTAACCCTCTATTGCTGCACCTCCTCAAACTTTTGTACCAAGGAGCACCAAGGAATGGGGAAATTGCACCAAAACAGAGGATAAAGGGCAGCAATGTATAATGAGGACACAAAAAAGCAAAATAGTACCCACCTTGTCTGTACAGTTTAAGCTTGGAAAAAAAAGCCACCAAAAAAAAAAAAAAAAAAAAAAACCGCGTCGCCGCATCAATTCCAGAACTTCGGTCTGACCAGAGACCGACTACTTTTTCTTTTGGCCTTAGAATAATGAAGCTTTATTCTAAACCACAAATTCGTAACGTCCCATGTACCAAAGGCTGAATCCTTCAGTGAGCTTGAATTCATAATAACATAATACTTTGACAGTTAATTAACCCCCGTCATGACCAAAAAAACGATTTACACGAGTACTGTCATATATCTAATCTCATGGGTTTAAGTTTCTTTTCTTCCTTTGCTTGGATACACATGTAAATATTCCGCAATCATCAGGCAGCATGAAATTTATTTTTGCTTCTATTGAGAGCTTTTTTTCATTGATCGTTGTTTCTTTTACAGTAGTTTCCCCTTGTCTGTATATAAAACAAAACAAACAAAACAAACAAACACAAAGCCACCGTGTCTTGGGTATTTGCGCACCCCCCTTTTCTATCACTTTCACTGCATGTACATCATTATTTGTAGGTATTGATCAACTGCGTAGTTACATTGTCTGTATGTGCCTGTTTGCGTGTACCTTCATGAACAGGACTGATCGCATGACCGCCTTTCAGAGGGTTTAAGAAACAAGATGGAAATTGTTTTGTTTCTGAGCATAATGATTCTACTAGCTGAATTCCTGTTCGGTAAGCTTCATTAATAGATTATCTTTTTCATGCTAATACCTTTTTTTTGGTTTGATTTGGGGTCAAGCATTTGAAAGCCTTTCTTGAACAGCCACCGTCTATCTGTCGGGGAAATTCTTTTTTTTTTCGATACATGAACAACAAACTAAGAAACCTTACAAATCACAGTTCATCCCTTAGGCCCCCCCCCCCAAAAAAGTCTCCGGTTTCTAGTATTTGTCGCCGTAGCCATGTGCGTCGGCAAAATGATTTTTTTTTCAATAAAAGATGTCACAAAACCGCCAAACTCACTGGTTTGACAGGAATCCTGCTGCTGCATAATTTTAACGTGTTTTTAGATGGGGTTATGGTCGAGAATAAGCTTTATGTGGCCTCGCTAGACTCCCATACATTTGCACTAAGTTTAGTCGGGCACCACGGCAGTCATCAGCCGACTTTTGAAGCAAAACAAAAAACAAAAACAGGTAAAAAAAAAGGCCGCGTCGCCGCACCTTTTTGGGGGCAAGCTTCATACCAGAAACCGAAGACTTTTTGGCCTTATACCCAAGCTAACTGTTATCGTTACACTAACATCATTTCTAAACATTGCTTAAACCTCAGTCTTTGTAACAGGTTTTCATGGTAAACGTGTCTGCATTTCTCGGAGCAAAACAAATCCATATTTGTAAAAACTGGATTCTAGTATGGTACGGCTCAAGAAAGCAACCGCAGGCGAAGCCAAATCAAACTTATCATTGAGTTGAGAAGATGTTGTTAAAAGTTAAACGAAAATTAAAAGTCAGTTTGTCCCTTTAATTCAAATTGCTCTAGCATCTCTGGAAGTATTTGTTTCTCTTAATAAACTGGAGAGCATGCTGACCTTATGATCCTTTGTCGAGCGATTGAAGCTCACATGTTGCCGATCTGTTATCCAAAGTACTAAATTGATCGCAAAAGGTAATCTAGACCATGGTTTCATGAACAGCCTATACGATTGGCGGAGGATGAGCTTTCGTGAGGCGGGGTCCAGACTCATTCCTTTAAACCTGAAGATGATCGACACCGACTCATCAGGTCGAATGACTGCACATGGAAGGTGGTAGGCGTGGTCAGTCTGGAGGCTTACGGTAAGCCTCACGCTCACTGACGTACAGTGGACTCTCAGCTGTAGTGTGTACACGTACACAAATGTTAGTTAAATTTGGAACTCAAGGATTTTCACCTAAATTCGGCAACTTTGGGTTGTTTAAGCTTATAGTCAATGCGTATACACAAACGGAATGCGACGCAGAACCCATATATTGTTCCCGTACGTCCTTAAATGAATTATTGGTTTGCTGATTGAAGCATGCATGAACGGGTGACTGCATGGCACTAACTTCTCGTGGATGCTCATAGCTGCTTCTGAAACAAGTGTTTAACTGCTCTGGCTAATTCTACCATGATTAAGCCTTTATTTTAAACCTCTTAATTCAAGATGTTTTAAGTGCAGCCCTGTATTATTTGGTTTCAAAACAGAAATATGTAGAAAAAAATCCCATACAAATTCCAAAAAAAAAAAAATAAGTCGAACCCCCCCTACTGTAACCCCCCCCCCCCCAAAAAGGAGTTATACTGGTATAATGTTTGCCTGTTCAAAATATGGTACACCATTCTGTAATCTAGTATTAATAATCATCGAATTTGAACAGCGCCCCCATTGAAATATGTTAGCCCCCCCCCTATTTTTATTTTTGATTTTACGGAGGCCAAGTGTCCGGAGAAAAAAACCTGTGTACATTTTTAGAGTTTTTTGCTGATGAACCCCCCCCCCTGCGAAAATTCCTGGATCCGCCCCTGCACGTTGTTTAATTCTCACTGCTTATTTTTTCTATGCCAATTGAAGAGTCCGCATCACTGCCCTTCACTGGCATAACACCCTCAATGTTACGCTTTGAGAAACCAGCAATACTGTCCAACGCGGTAAGGATGAACAAGGATATAGCCACAACTCTCATCTTGAAGCAATTGCATCTGGGTATAAATTATGAACGATTCCAGTTTGTAAAAGTTTGTTAAGTACAAAAAAAAACAGTAAAAAAAAAATCAAATGTTTTTACCGATGGTTGTAAGGATATTTGGTCTAAATTTGTGCGAAGTAGCAGATCACCCTTTTCAGCGTTCTCGTAGATCATGTTAGACAATAACCTTCTTGCGAATGTGTATGTATTCAACAATAAATTGTTAATACATTAGCAAGAAACGACTATACATGAACACCCGGAAGTAATTCGATCCATTAACAGGCAATACAGTATGACTATAGATTTCCGCTTTCACAATAATATATTTCTATTGGAATCACTTGATGTATAATACTCACCCGTGGTCAATGAACGTCAAAAACAAGTCAGCGGTTTGAGGGGAATCAGGTCCAAAACAACCATAACGAATTCTGTCTTTGTGACTCATGAATTGGCATGCACCAGTGGGGGGATTTCCAACAGTGCAATTTGACCGCGAAGAATAGGTCACGTGTTTATCAACAGCAATAAGCCTTTGACCTTTTAAATGCACTTTGAATGCACTCACCGAGTAGTCTTTGTGTGAGGCTATTCACTTGAGTCGAGGTTGAAGGTTTGTTTACTCCGTCGTTGCACAAGGCGGGCGGGACGTTTAAATCATTCCGCTGTATACATACTTCCACCTCGCCTCTATATATATTGGACTCATGCTATTTTTGTTTTTGCACCCCCACGCAAACAATCCGCCAACGTGTTCGCCCAAAATATCACTCTGGATCTAGTATGTATGTACAATGATCTGCGGTTTCCATAATAATTAACAATTCTTATTTGTTCGCCGCCTCAACATTGAAGAAAAATATCTCCAATACCAACTCACTCTTTGAAATGTGCGTTTACTGCGCTTTCGTCGAGGGTGCTCAGAGTTTACTGCGCTTGCTCAGTGTAGTTGATATCTGGTTTGTTAGTAAAAAACGTCATACAAGCGCGCACACCAATGATAACTAGCGCCCATTGGATGAACGCTTAAAAACAGTTGCGTTAACTTCCGGTTCCAATGGTTTCAATGCTTCTTGATGGCCAGTAGGCGTGGTTTAGACTGAACCGACGTCACATCCACGAGCCGGATAGAGGTCAGTGCGTACGCATGGTGATCAAGTTAAGATATATCATAGGTATTTCTCCGCCATACGCGTTTGTTTAGGGAGCGCGCAAGGAGTATATGTCTCCCATAAGAGCTTACCCGAGATGTCATAAAGAGCGCCATCTAACTTCGTGCAAATAGTCTATAGATTATTTAGGGGTTTAAGAAATCCCGGCTTCTCCAGCCCAACATTCATTAAGAATCCATCCTGCTACTTTCCAACTCTTGCACAATACAGCAACAAATACAACGGCCTTGCATGCCACAGGTTGGTCTCAATTCACCCGAAAATGGACCAATAATTGTTCAGTAGTCTGTCGAGTGATGGGATTATAATCGTGAAGCTCTAGTCTAAGCCACGAATTCGTAAACGACCTATATAATATTATACATATATACACCCTAGGCCGAATGCTTCAGTGTGGTAATTATGAACATTGATTTTTTTTTTTGCTGGGCTTTATGGGCCTCCATTTATCAGACTACATCAAACGTGTTATTGCTTCTCTTTGAATCCTGCGCTTCGTTCGTTATTGTTTCTGTCACATTTAAATAACCTCTTGTTTGTTTTTTGTTTTTTTTACACAAAACAACGAAACAGATACAAACAGGCCACTGTCGCTCAGTTATACATTTGCGCACCCTTTTCCCGCTTTCACTTCATGTACATCATTATTTTTTTAAGCATTGATCAACTGCAGCATAGTTATAATCCTGTGTGCGTTCGCCTTCATACACTGCACTGATCGCATGACAGCCTTTATGAGGGTTTAAGAAACAAGATGGGAATTGTTTACTGTCTGATAACAATGATTCTACTTGCTGAACCCCTGTTTGGTAAGCTATATTAATATATATATTTTTTTCAAGCTACATACTTTAAACAGTTGCCATTGTTGATGTTTTATACGATATTGTTCTGCAAGCGATTGGAAGTCTTTCTTGAGTACAGATCGTCTATCTGTTGAGCTCTCTGTTTCGAAAAAGAAATGAAGAAGCTGAAACATTACATTTCATTATATTCCATTATATAGTTGACTGTTATCGTTATCCTGGCATCATTTCTAACCACTGCTGAAACCAGTTTTAACGGGTTTTCATGGTAAATGTGTCTGCTATTCTCGGAAAGAACATTTTCCGTATTCGCCATTACATTATGTTATTGTCTGGTGCAGTAGCTTACACATGCAGGAAACCTTTAACATTCATATAAAGTTGATTCTGGAATCATAGCACGGCTTCAGAAACAGACCGCAGACAAAGCAAAATAAAAGTTTACAATCAAAGTCGCTGTCGAGTTAAGAAAAGGTAGTTTATTCTGTATATTATTCACTAAATTTAACTTAATTAGAACGTCAATTTCTCCCTGTAATCCAAACTGCCCTGAAATCGTCGGCAGTATTTGTTTCTATAACAACACGTGGGAACAATATGGCCACTCTGTTATCAAGAGTAATAAATTGATGATAAAATGTAATCTAGGCCATTTTTTCCTTTCATGCTAAACTTGTTTAATTGCACCTAGGTACATCTATACGAAGCCTGTGACGACGACGTGTCAAAACTGATTCGAGTACCAGTTTGATATTCCAATGATAAACATGTTTTCAATTCATAATTTACTGCACTAATCTAAATAAGACCAGAAAAGAACATTTGTGTGTCTTTGTTTCAATCGAAGGGCGAGAAGTCATTTTGACGCAGCATCCCTCGCCAGTTAGCGTTGGTCAACCAGTAACGTTTACATGCAATGCATCATGTTACGGTAGTCAGTCCTACATCGAATTTAGCTTTGATCATCGAGGGAAGTACCAACTCAGTGACTTAAGCTTCTTTCAAAACCGGAGTCATCGTCACTGCATCGACATTATAAAGGAGATGTATTTTACTGCGACTAGAGAGAATGCTGGCCTTGTGATCACATGCCAAGTGATCAACGCTATGGATTCAGTAATTGTTAATGACAGTGCTACCTTGGCGGTGCAAGGTAATCATTCATGTACAACAATGTTATATTTGTTTCATATGTTGTGTCTGTTTACAAAGATATAATTAATATGTGCTATGTTACCAGTGTATCTATACGTATTAAGGGTCGTCAAATGTGGACAAGACAAGCCAGTCCTATAGTAAGTCTATGGCCTTGAGATAAAACAACGTAATTCAATTGATACAGAATGGCTATTCACTGGAAGTCTTTTAATGCATCTTGTTTACCCAAAGGGCCTAATTAAGCCCATTTATTGTCGTTACGGGGTAATCCTTTACGATAGCACTGTCCGGGGCTCTGCACCATTCTACATAAGTGACCGCAAGGAAGATGACACTGGGCTAGCCCCCTGAAATTCGCAAATACTAATTTAATCACCAGCAAAGAATTAGCCAAGTTCATTCCAATATAAGGCGAAGTAAAAAAAAAACAAGTTTCTCGTCCCCGCCCGCTTCCTTTTTGGAGGCCGTCTGGATTTTTTTATTTTTTTTATTTTTGAAAAATGTAGTAAAAAAACACCAAAAAAGTCAACAAATTCATCGGAAAATGAATACCAATACCAATACAACTCTAAATGACACTGTGGGAAAAATTCCATACTAGGCCACGACTTTACCTGCCGCTAAACACATCAATTTTCACCTCACCTTGTGATTCCACCCAAGAGGAATCCAGGAAGCTGTGTTAATGCGAAAAAAAATTGACAAAATGTGTTTTAAGAGCCCATTTTGGATGCACACGTCGTGCGAAACTAAGTTGCAGCAGCCGGTCAAAACTGATTGAAGTGTGGCTGACAGACAGAGGTACGCATGACGCATGACATCGACAACCATGACGTCGCATGAGCCGGCCAATGATAGTGCAATACGTCATTATATTTATTTCTCATGAATATTTAGTTCATTCCAATGGCTACTTCAAATACGTCCAAAGATTGATTATTGCAACAGCGATCGTGCGCGGCCTAGCGGTTAAGAGTCTCGTGTTTCAAGTAGAAGTCCGAGGTTCGAATGAAGTAAGTCAAATGATACAACTTTTGGCGCTTGAAAATTAATTGAAAAAAGTTGTGGCCCAGTACCGAATTTTTTCCGACACTGTACACATGTTCAGTTCTCTTGTCCAACTTGTCTTTCATTTTAAAAGTCTCTTTGAACAGTTGACACAACCAACGGGTGCAGGACATTTTTAAATGGCGGCCATCTTGAAAAAAATAAAAAAATGAAAAATAAAAGGCCCCGCTTCCTCCCTTTTTTCAAAAACCCCGGAGGAGAAACTTTTTTATTTTACTTCGCCTAATATAGTACACAAAGAGGCAAGCAGATGTCTGCAGTTTTAATACATGAACATCTAGGTATTGTGAAATTATAAACAGGGACCTGTAAAGCATTCCACCTTTGAGATGTTCAAAGAAGGATAACAAGATGACCAGGTCACCTGTGAAAACCCAGTCATTGTGTGCTATGCGTTAGCACTGGTTAAACATTCATTTTCGATTGAATACAATTGTTCGGAATAGGTCCACCGACGAAGAGTGAGCTTTGTGTCTGGGATTCACAAGAACTGCCTTGTCGTCTCTGCAATCATTGCACACGAAATGTCAGCGTTGGAGACAGCTTGGATCTAGAGTGCACCGCGGTGGGTTCCATTCCCGTAAGTCACATAGAATGGGAGCTCAATGGTCAAAACATGAATAAGTCATCGATACTTCGCCAGACCAACTACTCCGAGACTCTCCGTGACGGTTCTTGGTTCTGGGATGCCATCAGCAAAGCCAGGATTGAGATTCGGGAAGGAGAGAGTAACTTTGGCGTCATGTGTCGAATTTTCTATCCGGACAACGCCACATTGTTCACCGAGGAGCATCTGCAGGTATTCGTCGTGCAAGGACGAGCAATAGGTAACCTCTTATCACATGTGTCGTCAATAATAGTTTGCATAATTTCGACAAAATGTAAGGCAACTGTAGACGTTTGGAGCAGCCGTTCGCTGAGAGCCTGCCCGTGTCAACGTTGAAATCAACTCGTCATTATGTACAATCCTTTGGGCACATGTTCGCTTTCGTAGGGGGCAATGACAGCCTTTAGTCCTGTTTGTACCTTACTTTTTGTCGATCAGATTGAATTAACAACCGACTGACTGTCAGTCTTGCTAGTAAAGCCCGCCGCACACGAGAGCTATGTGCTTAGCAAAAAGTCTCTAGAGACCGTTTGCTCAGTAAATTCATCCAAGTGCATTGGAAATAGTGACACCGCATCAGAACTGAGATTGAGTATCTAAAAATGAACTTTTCTTCTTTCGAAAATCCATCGCACAAATTGTTTTTTCTCAATATGTTTTGTCTGTCTGTGTGTTTCTACTTGAAGGGCAAGAGGTTATTTTGACCCAGCATCCCTCACCAGTTAGCGTTGGTCAACCAGTGACGTTTACATGTGACGCATCTTGCCTCGCTCCGCGATCCTCCATCCAGTTGATTTTTGATCCTCGTGAGGAGTACTCAAACATTAACACAAGCTCATTTCTAAACATTAAACGTCCTGGCTGCTTCGAAATCGTAAAGGAGATTTACTTTACCGCGACGAGACAGCATGCTGGCCTTGTGATCACATGTCAAGTGACCAACCCTTCGAATACAGTTACTTTGAAAACTTTGGTAGTGCAAGGTAATTGCTCATGTACATCATTTCTACTTTTACTTTTCATTTCTATTTCTACTTTTACTGAGTTGTCGTTTCGCTATTATGTGCCTTTTGTTGTTAAAAACGGCTTAAAGGGGCGCATTGTCCTAAAAATCGCTGAAATGGTTATGTTTTAAGATATTTACTCATCATGTTTCAAATTTGTGGTTGAAAGGAAACTAATTTTGAGAAGAGAATAAAAAAGCCGGGTTGTTCATTTCTGACACGACGGTCTTTAGAGGGCATACGTATACGTATTTCAAGCAGTAGATAACATTATACTTCTTGTACATTGCTCCCATTTTCTGTGTTCATAATGTCAGACGTATCAATGCACGGTATGGGTGTATCGGTTGGTTATCCACTCAGACTGAGGACTTGGAACAATGGGCTGTGTGCGATTTTAATGGGCCCGAGGACCTGGGTTCCGGTAGAATTTCGTGTACAAACCTTTTGGGAGCTGTCGAGAAAAAGTTGAAGTGCAAACGAAAAGGAATAAAAGAAGGGAAGGATCAGGTCCTCATGAGTACAGTAAAATGGGCTGGGTGTGTTTGTGTGTACGTACAATGTACAGGTGCACACCTCGAATACACATGTCGTTTGCCGCACGTCCGCAGTATGCGATGCACTGGTGGAACATGTGCGACTGGAATTGCGACTTGCCCCCAAATAGCTCGAGTTTTGATTGTCTAGAGAATTTGGTCATAGAGACGGAAGGGGAAAATCACGGCAATCTTCTTTTTTACCTTATTTATTTCAGTCGAACATGCAACGAGCCTCACTCTTGAGATGAACTCCGAAGTAGTCGATGACAAGGTTGACGTGAAGATTGGTGGTCTCTACCGATTCACGTGTGAGGCGTCTGGGTTAAATCCAGCCAATCACACCACGTGGCTTATTGAAAAAGGGGGCCACCAATTACCAATAAAGGGCGCTTGTGATTGGTTGCCTCCAAACAACACGGAGAGGCGGGACGTTTCGTCTCAAATCTGCTTAAATATCACGGAGGATCACTTCTTGAGTAGAATTGTATGTAGAGTGTTGTTTTCGGCTAACGGAATTTACGCAGAGGCAGCAGTGAATCTGTCACTTGATACGCCAGGTAATTACAAAATGAGTAGCTCTCCTTACTACTGATACTGATATTAAAGGTCCCCATATGTAAATGATTAAAGAGGTTTATGTAAAATAAAAAAAATAAAAAATAGGTGTATAGGCCTACAGTGCGATTTAGAGCGGAAAGTTATTTTATCAACGACCGTTTCATTCCTCTACTCGGGGGCGGCGGCGGAACCGGGGGCAGGGGGCACTCCGCCCCCTTCCCGATTTTCCTAGGCCTTAGATCCTAGTGCCCCTCTCGCGTTTTACGATGTCACCTCGAGTTGAAAAAACAAAACAGCCCCTCAAACTTACACGTATGAAAGCATTTGATCGCGCTATTAATAAAATTGTATCCTGTCTTGTATTGCAAAATTGCCCCTCAAAAACACAAGCATCCCTCTTGCATTAACAAGATTGTGCACCTTTTCGAGATGGAAAAATGCCCCTTGAAAACACAAATACCTCTCTCACTACAATAAAACAAATCCCATCTAGAGATGAAAAATTGGCAGTCAATACCCATAGTGCACCATTCTCGATAATGTATAGTGCACTTCACGCGAATAAAATGGTTGGAATAATGAACGTTGTAAAGTATCTGGGGAAATCTATTGTTCTCATTATTGAGAGGCACTGGAAAAAATAGGAAAGACTGCTCGTCATTAATATTTTTACAATTAACATTATAACATTATAAGCAGACCTAATTTAATCTGTTTCTGTAGAACCAGGAAGACCGACTCCTGGGCAAGCCACCACTTTCCTGTCATCAACCGAGGACCCAGTCACAAGACAAGACGTCTTCAAGCTTCCTATCATGTTCACTGTCATCGTTGTCTCAGTCACATCCTCTGTTGTTATCTGCTTTGCTATAACAATAGTTTGCATAACGAAACGAAAATACCAGCAGACACGTACAAAGGAGGGGGTCGCAACGTCAAAAGAACTTCGCCTGACAGTATGTTTTAAACTTTGTGTTGTAGGATAATAAGTAGGCCTATTTTTAAACAAATGACAATTCACACTTAAATGATTTTAATGAAATTTCGATCGACGATTGTGCCAACTGCATTAGTGTATGCGCCTTTTACAGGACTTGCACATTAAAAAGCCCCAGTTCAGTTTCGACCCGGAATCTGGGTTCATATGTTGTGTTTATTTTTTCCCCATGTATAACACGACCTTTTCACCTGTCCAATGACACTTTTGCCAAGTTATCCGCGTCAGTAACCCAAAGGGAAATCACGCGGAGTGTCATTTTGATCCGACAGAGTGTCATCTTTTAATCTCATGAGGATTAGGCCAAATACAAGTTGAGCCGAAAAGAGGAAACCCAAATGACAGTACCATTTTGAAGTTTTACACATAACACTTTCAAAATGTAACATACGAAAGCCCAATTGATAAACTTGCTTTTCGTATAGGTATTATTCAAACTACTGATTTACTTTCGAGTTATGGCATTTTAAACACAACCTCCGTTTCAAAGTTTTGTCCACCGATTAAAAAAAAAAAGGTGAGTGTTCTTTTAGAAAAAACGAAAACAATTCACATAGGGTTGTCTATGAATTGTTTTCATTTTGTTGAAAGGACACACACCGTTCTTGTGATCTGTGTACAGAACTTCAAAAAAGTGACTGTGTTTAAGATTCCGTAACCTGAAAGGTACATGGTTGATTGGTGTTATTTATTTGTACTAAAAGAAAGCTTACTAATGAGCGTTCATATCCGTCATTTTGAAAGAGCTACGTGCAGAACTTTATTAAGAAAATGGTCCTGACAATTGGGTTTTCTTTTCTTTGACTCACTCACCCTGTACAATCTGGCTGGATTCCGGGTCAGTTTGACTTTCCAGAGTACATGCCTGTAAATTAATGCAAGAAATCATATCAATGGTAGAATATAGTTCTACTTACTTAGCGGTAAGAGGAACATCAGTATTTAAATTACTGAAGTGCATTTGATATCATGCATGGACGGGTAAGACAATGTGCTTACGATAAACACAAACTCCGTTGCAAGACGTTTTCCCACCAGATATGATCACAGCTTTGATTTATTTTTCATTTTGATTAATCTTTCATTTTCAATATTGTTTTCTTATGGTTTGCAATAATGATTGCCTAACATTAAGTTCAAAAGATATCTTATTTGTACTGTATGAAACAGGAAGTTTCTGCTCACGACCGAGGGACTTTCATCCAATCACATAATGTCTACGATTTTCCTCGTGGGAGGATCGCCCTGCATGAGGTACTAGGCAGCGGTAACTTTGGCCATGTCTACCGAGCCACGGCAGATGGGATATACCATCCGGGAATCAAGTCAGAAGTGGCCGTCAAAATACTCAAAAGTAAGGACGGATGGTGTGTGCTTATTACCTTTGTATTAACTTCGTTTTAGAGAATATGTTATTGACGAAAATCAAGCGTGACTTCAGAGGGCAGTGAAATCGGAACCTGCATAGTGCATACACTGGATGCCTCTCCATTAACCCTGGCATTGTGTACTTCCGCAACCTCATTAGGCCATTTTCAAAACAAAGTGACACACAGACAGACAGCCAGCCCGACTGACAGACAAACAACGTAGAATCAATATAGGATATCAACCTCACCCTTGGAGTGAGAAAGCATTAGGGGTTGCATCAAGAAATGAGAAGCCATTTACATTTCAGGTGTAACAGGGACAACGAGTTACTTTCGATTGCAGCTGACTTTGCTAAATGGAGACTTGATTTGAAATATGTTAAATATTTTACCTTGTGCATGCGGTACTCGATGCAGTGGATTATTGATACCTATCCAGCATGTTGAACTGAACGGTTTCTAACGGCCGGGATAAATAGGGTAAAGGAGACATTACGCGCAAATCAATATAAGAAAGACGCAAAGGAAGATGTTCAAATTATAACTAAAATTCAACTTATTTCTTTGTGTGTGTTTTTTTTTTTAGAGTCGGCTGATGCGAATGTAGTCGCTGATTTCGAGAAGGAAATAGTGGTTCAAAAGGATCTCATAAAACATCCCAACATTGTATCGATGCTTGGCTATTGCACGGAGACGCGTAAGTCAACTATGAGCCTTTTAGATACATCGATCATTATGACTCCTTTACAAAGGAAAGTTTAAATAAATAGTTCAGGTACTTTCGGTTGAGGTCGAAAGAGACTGATAAAACACGCAGTCGATGTAAAGTTAATTTTAGGGCAATGTTTGTGACCAATTTCATAACTTCGTATGTTGACCTGTTTGATGACATTTCTGCTTTGCCGAATCGAAATAGACATTGATTTGTTCGGTATTGAGTAAAACAATATACATTGCGTGTTTCAAAGTAAAAAAAAAATCAGAACAACTCTTTCAAGCGTCACCCTGTTCATTTCCTGGTGAGAGAAGATTCTGCTTTCATTTTTAGGCGAGGAATTGTTGACAAAGTGAGTGATAAATGACGAACTTTCAGTTTGGTTTTCTGCTAGCTTATTTTTTTGCTCATCAACCATCGACCCCGGTCGAACTTTCAGCAAATTGTTCGGTGCCCACACTGGCTGACAATACCCAAACTTTAAGGCTGTTTCCGTAATCAGGGAACACCCATGATGGAAGCACATTAAATGGTTTTTACAGATAGTTTGTATAGCGATTCTCCTCGGAGTTCAGGCGGCGAGTGTAATAATTGCTTTTTCTCTCTTCTTTAACTGGCTTTTGAGGTGTAAACAATCCTATCCCTAGGACTGTGTAACATCCAATGGGTATTTATTAGGATATTTTTTTAAGTGAATTTAAAACACCCTCAACTAAAGAACGTAACTATTTAATGATGCAAGATGGCATTTGCATTTCAGTGTTTGCACACCCCATGATGATAATGTTGGGTTGAAATGCCTTCATCTTTTGTCATTTCATAGAGCCGTTTTACCTGATACTGGAGTATCTATCCAGAGGCAACTTACAGCAATACCTGAGGGCGAAGAAAGACGCCTGGAGAGTTGATGCCGTTGAGGGCGCACAGCCTGCTTGCCCCTTCCAGCTCTTGACATTTGCCTCTGAGATTGCCAACGGAATGGACTACCTCTCCTCCATGGGGGTACGTGGGGTAAAGTCAAAACAGAAGTAACATTTTAACACACACACACAACTTTTTCCGAGCAGATACTAACCCCTTAAAGACGGCAAGCGGTCATGGCCGCGGACTGATTTAAGTCTATGTGCCGGGGAGCGGGCATAGCCGCATTGCCGCACGTACACATTTCATTCATCTCCCACCTGTTGTTACCGGCAGGTTTTGATTGAAAGGTGTTTTTTTGTAGTAGGGAAAAGTTCGGAGAACCCTCATTATTCTTCCAAAACCTAATTTACTCATTGAAAGGACCTATTCTTCTCAATTGAATAGAAGGGCTTTTAGTGTTATGAGCTCACTGAGTGCTTTCCATTGTGCACCGCGCACGGGCTAGAGGGCGATGAATAGGGGCTTTTGTTCAGTGTACGTGCGCTCTGTGTGTAGGGTACACTCGTCTGATCACACTGGGCTTTCTGTGTACATGTACATGTACACAGTGTATAGGCACTTGCATACACGATGTTTTCCAGTAAAGACGAGCAAACTTTGGCTGCTACCAGCGGTTCAGATTCTGATTCGGAATCTGAACAAAGTTCAGAAATTGAAAGTAGTGGCAGCGATTCTGACGAACAAGTCCCGTTAGCAATGTTAGCGAAGCGAGCCAAGACTACCCAATCAATTCGATGGAAGGACACGGACAACTTTCCTCGTCGATTTGGCTTTCATGGTACAACGGGATTTCAAGTGCCGAGTTTGAATGAACTTAGCGAAGCAACGGAGATCTTCGAAAACTTCTTTCCTCCTGAACTGGTGGCGCACATCGCCGATGAGACAAATCGCTACGCTGCCCTGAAACCAAAGCGTCAATCGCCGAGTCCAAGTCACATGAGGGAATGGTTCGATACTACTCCAGATGAGATGTCGGTGTTCCTGGCCATGACAATCATCATTGGAATAATGCCCAAGCCGGACTTGAAACTCGATCTACTGGACGAGAGACCCCGTATTTGAGACCCCGTTCTTCCCCAACACCATGCCCCGTGACCGATTCATGGAGCTGCTGTTCCATCTGCACTTCACCGACAACAGTCAGCCAGATACGAGTGATCGCCTCTACAAGGTCCGCCCGGTGATAGATACACTGACTGAGAACTTCAAATCAGTCTACCTTCCCGACAACCATATATATCCACGGACGAGTCGCTGTGGAAGTTCAAGGGGAGATTGAAGTTCAAGCAATTCAACCCCAAGAAGCGCGCCAGATTTGGCATCAAGGTATACAGAGTCTGCCAAAGCACGGGAGCTGCCGCCGGATATACCTGGAACTTGAAAATATACACGGGGCAAGACAAGAGCGATACACCGGCAAGTACGAAAATCGTACTTGACTTGAACGCAGATCTTCTCGGCAAGGGGTACACCGTTTTTCTTGACAACTGGTTCAGCAGCCCGGCCTTCTCTGTTTCTGGAACTCCACAGTCACAAGACAAACGTCGTCGGGACAGTCAGGAAAAATCGGAAGGACATGCCCAAGGACTTGTGCGACTTGCAACTTCGTAAAGGCGAAGTTGCATATCACTCTTCAGACAAAGGCCTGCTTGCCTTGGTCTGGAAAGACAAGAAAGATGTACGCATGTTGTCTACGATGCACACGGCCGCAATGGGGGACTCCGGCAAGCGCGACCGGGACAACAAGCCCATCGAGAAGCCCAAGTGTGTCATCGACTACAACGCAGGCATGAAGGGCGTGGACATGTCGGACCAACTTGCCTCATCTCACCGCACGGTCAGAAAGTCCATCAAGTGGTACAAGGAACTGTTCTTCTACGTGCTAGATGTCTGCCTTGTGAATTGCATCTTGTGCACAAAGCATTGGGTGGGACTGATAAATACTTGAATTTCAGGTGGACACTAGTGAATGAAATACTAGGGGCCCACACACCAAACCTCCCTGTATATCGAACGTTGTGTTGTTTGTTCAAGACATTTCATCAGAAAAGAAACTAGATTCATGTGTGAAACTTTTGAAGTTCCCCTTTGTCCTGCCCCTTGTTTCAAAGTTTTTACCTCACCAATATAATTTCACTGTACAGCATTTCAGTTTTATTTCAGTTGTAATTATAAAGAGAGAAAAAAAGACATTTGTAAACAACATTTGTATTCAGTTCAGTTACTTATTTTATTTGAAATGATGAGAATAAGAAAGTAAGAGAAAATAAGAAGTGCAAAATTATAAATAACAAAGAAATGACAAGAAATATGTGGAAAAAATGAAACAAAAACCAGTTTCTGTCTTTGCTTTTTTTACAAGTATATTTTATAATATAATGGGGAAAGAAAGTCATGGTATTGGGGTATTTGGTAAGAAAGGAAATATTTACAGATGAGATATATTTTATGGTATGGATAGTAAAATGGGGGAGGGAATGCTAGCGGGTGAAAATATTCACAATAGCATTAACTATTCTACAAAAAAGAACACGCGTAATACTAAAAGATAAGCAGCCTGATCACAGTGCATTCTTTTTAGGTATACGAACGTAAATGTACATGTACTCAAAGTCATGTACATGTACATGTTTGTACATGTACTGGGCCTACGTGGCGCGCAATCCAGCATCTCGGCCTGGTCGGCACTGTGTGTATGTTGCCCGGCGCCGGATAACCGCAGACATATCCTGGTTGACCCCACCATGTACGGTCGTAGTCATTTAATACCGGCTGCCCGGCAAGTACTCGAAAAACAAAACCGGGTTTAAGGGGCTAACAACAATCATAATTATCTGTGATTTTCCTAATAAGTCTCTGGTACATTTGTTGGAGCGAAATTGAAAGAAATCTACCCAAATAATTAAAAATGACTGCAGAATACAAAGGGTCTATGCCATACATGTTTTGAAACCTTTTTGAAACAAAATGTGGCTGTTGGTATTTTCCTACAGAAATATTAAAACGAGCTCCATAAATAACCATTTCAAAGTGTGGATAATATGCCAATAAAATAGCCAATACAGTGGTTCGGTCTAATGCCGCGTATAGCGTTAAGTATGTGTTCATGCTCTTCATTGCAGTGCATTCACCGTGACCTAGCTACTCGCAACATCCTTCTCAGTGACGACCTTGTGTGCAAACTCTCTGACTTTGGATTGGCACGTGACATTTCTGAGACTGAACAATATGAGAAAACATCCAGGGTAAGGTGTCAACATGTCATTGCTGTGTTCACCAGTGGACTAATACCCTAGTGGTCTGTAGGCCTTCTCATCTGCCTTTTTAAATGTCAAGGTACAATGTAAGCACATTGAACTGTCATTAGACAGATTTTTTTTGCAAAAGGGGGAAGTGACAGCCCTATTATAGGTATTCATTCGTGATATAGTTTGTCATTTTGGGGATCTAAGACCTTGATTTCTCAAGTCTTTCCAGTTCGTGAGCCCCTTTACTTTGAAGATACTGGCAACAGTTTTGGTTTTTTTTCACATGCATTGACTACCGGCCTTGTAAATTCCTACATCCAAACTTTAACAGTCCAGAAACTTTCATAGTCCAGAAACCTAAATTATGTTGTATTTCAACAATGCAGGGATTGGTTCCTGTTCGCTGGCTGGCTTTGGAGTGTCTCGTTCAGAACGTGTACACCACAATGAGCGACGTGTGGTCATTTGGTGTCTTGCTGTGGGAGATTGTCACGCTAGGTACGTGTAACTAAAACTTCGTTACTAACTAGACTGGCTGCTCATTGGCCAATTCTTCTTAAAGCAAATGATTCACTATTCTTGGATCCCTGAAACGTCACGTTCTACATTTGCATTTGTTTTTCACTCGCATCATCAATTTCCCTAATGACAAATTATTCTTTGAATGTCGGGCGTTCCAAGGAATATGATTATTTGAATCTCATCGAGCCGGTCAGAAAATGCAACTCTTATTTTACCAACTCTACTCTAAAAAAATGAATTGCTGCGCGTGCGTCGTGGCTGACCAAAGCTGGCGGATGCTATTCGAATGCCTGTGCACTGTCCACCATTGTAGTTAGTACAGAGATCAGTGGTCCTACCGCATGAGCCGTTTGCTCAATTGCGTTTCAAGAAATTTATTCGTTGCACTGGAAAACTTGGGCCTCATGAATGGGTCTCATGTAATAAATATTGCGTCTACAAAAGGGCAATGTCAGTTACATTAACCCTAAAAGGGCCGGGTTATTTTGACCAACTCTCAGGGGGGGGGGGGGGATTCCGCCCTCCCCCTCCCCCCCCCCCATAAGATCTCGGCCATCAAGTGACGAACAATTTTGAACTGGATACATGCATAAAGCAACTCTTCATTAACATATACCCAAGAAATTTCATGACTATAGGTCAAACAGTTTTGGAATTATGGCTAATTAATTATTCATATGTACGAATGGTAATTCTGGTCTGTGTATACGACGTATACGGAAAAATTCAGTTTTCGCGGCGCGTACCGCCGGGAAATTTTTCGCTGCGCGACAACCCCTGGTCCGATTTTTATATTTTTGGTGTTAAAAGATGCGCAAGGCTTGAGGCTAAAAAGTCATAACAGCTTGGATCGCGAAAACTTTTTTAAAGGCTATTGCGGAAAAAAAGTCGAGGGGGGGGGGGAGCGGATTCCGCCCCGGCCCTTGTAGGGTTAAGCCTAGGAGACTATATGTAACAAAGTTCAGCATCGATTTTGCTCTACGCAAAACAAACAAAAAACAGCTTGTAAAGTTTGCAATTCCATTGCAAACTACAAGCAAATGTGTTTTCTTCTGTAAATGAAACTCTTTACTTAATACATGATAGTATCATGAGACCCTTTTTTCAGGTTGTTCTTTTTCGAATCTAATCAATGTAACTTTATGCGTTCAGGTGACCATCCCTACCGTGGAATGTCCGCCAGTGAAATAATTGACGTCTTAGCTGAGGGCTATCGGTTACCAAATCCCTCGCATTGCCATAATCAACTGTGAGTAATGAACTTCTTGTTAAATACGATATCAGACTTGAAGACAAAAGTCAACCCAAAGTTCGAATCGACGACTAATACTGGGTTGCAATATTTATATGTAAATAATGGTGTCTTACATTAAGATGAACCAGACCATTTCAGTCATGTAAACACTTAAGACTAACCACACGAATTGAATCTCTTCTGACAAACTGAGGAGGGGAGGGGCAATACCAAGAAGGGGCACTGGAAAAGGAATCGTTCGTCGCTGAAATGGCGACACGGTTTTTTTTACCGGACACTTGGCCTCCGTTAAATCAAAAAGTGTAAGGAGGGGGGTGGTACGCAGTTCCAAAATAGGGGGCTCTCTTTGGGCTTTGTTTTCATATTCCTCGTTCATATCAGAACTCTCTATACCATTTTGGGAAATGTTTACTGAAAACAAATTATCCAAAGTTTGAGGGCCATTTTTGTGTTCATCTGGGGGGGGGTACATTTATGATCGAGGGGGCACTTGGGTAAAACTGGGGGGGGGGGGGGGCAAATGCCCCCTCGTCTCTCCGGTTCCGCCGCCCCTGAGTCTATCATAATTTCATTATGAGTCAGATCCCAAGATGGTTTAGTGAAAGGAAGTGTGTGACTAAGCAAAAAGGGTGGCTAAGACACAGTTCTTTTGATTAGATTGGCACTTGGCTTGAGACGTGAACACGTGATTATTACGTGAGGACTTAATTATCGTAAGCTTGTGAAGACTAATGGTAAACAGGGGTCTCGATGTCTTGATTTCAAATCACTCTGGTCTAGTTATACAGCTTTCCCGCAGTTTATTTCAAATTCTTTATAAACAGCCACAAAAAGAACCGAATCATGTTCCTTGACAAGAGTCTGATTTGTTTTTACAGCTACACTCTTATGATGGAATGTTGGAGACTTTCCCCCTCACGTCGTCCGTCTTTCGGCTGTTTAAAGAGGATGTTAGACAGTATGATTCCTGACGCGAAGGTAAGCTACGTCATTTCCATGCAAAGATTGTTAATTGCCAGATACTGCTCAACTTCAGGTCAAAGTCATTTTAATAACAACATCTAATGATTTCATTATGCATGCATGTATGTAATCAGGCCCTGCCTATTTAGTTAAATCTTAAAAATTAGACCTTTGCTGTATAAAGCACCTCATTGAGGCTTCAAAGAATTGTAATCTTACTATAATGCAAATCATTCTTTATTCAAATATATGATGAGGATGTGTTATTTTGTTTTCTTTTAAAGATGTACTTGGAGATGGAGAATTTTGTTGCAGATACGTTTGTGTGAGCATGTGAACCTTTCTTGGCGAAATGACTGGCTATGGTTCGCATGGTTTGGACTTCAATATATCCACCTCAGACACACGCAATTTGTGTAACTAAAATATTTTGTGACTTAAAATATTTAGTTACTAAAATAATCAATTAGTGACTGCTCTCGGAATAATTGGAGGCTGTGTATACAATGAACTGTTTGTAGTCGTTTATATTTTGTGAGAGCTGGGATGGCACATTTCAATTAAGCTGTTTGTATTTTATAAATGTCAATAAAATACACGTGTATATTTTGTACATCGTAAACTCAGTTCTGCAATTGTAATTACAAAGGCACTTTGCATGAAACAAACATAACATACACAGGTCACCTTATTTAGGCCAAAAAAAAGTCTCCGGTTTCTGGTATGCGCGCGCGTCGCCGTAGCCATGCGCGTCGGCAAAATGAAAAAGTTTTTTTTTTTAATGAAAGATGATGTCTCAAAACCGCCAAACTCACTGGTTTGACTGCAATCCTGCTGCTGCACAATTTTAACGTGTTTTTAGATGGGGTTATGATCGAGAATAAGCTTTATGTGGCATCTCTGGACTCCCATATATTTGCACTAAGTTTAGTCGGGCACCATTTGCAGTCATCAGCCTTTAGTCGGGCACTATTTGCAGTCATCAGCCTACATTTGAAAGCAAAAAAGTCAGGTAAACAAAAAAAAAAAATCGCGTCGCCGCACCACTTTTTGGGCAAGCTCCATACCAGAAACCGGAGACTTTTTTTTTGGCCTTAGGTGGATCATGTCATATTACTCTAGATGAGATATTTTGTAAACGGGAATATTAGAAGTAAATTTGAAAACCGAAGAAATATACATAAACAATTTCAAGAAGCTGTACATTTTAATGAAACGGTTTGTGTTTTCAAATATTTCAATAAAATGAATGTATATATTTTGTAAATTTTTAGGCGGATCATATAAAGAATTTATTCTTGATATTAATGTTTCGTTAACGGGAATACCAAGGCAAATATGACATGAGTAGAAAATTGTGTTGCATTTAGTCTAAATTCATTGCAAAACCGTTAAGGCTAGAATATAAAGATTCAATTGCACTAATCATATAACCAAGTGTATAAAGGAAATTGTGTATGTTTAATTGTCATAGAATAATTTGTTTGGTTTGATAACCTGGTGGGCAGGATTATGTAAAGTGTAGGCCTAAACATTTTCAGAAAAGAAACATTTGTTGCCTTAACACTTAATACAGAAACACCTTTCATTTTGAAACAAAGTGCTGCGTTGTTGGTAATCTTTATTAAAATATGGATGTAAAGCCTCAATATTCAGACTTATATACTAAATTAACATAATATGCAAAAACAGTAACTGGAAAAGCTAAACCATTTACAAAAAACATCTATACAATAACTTTCAAATGTTCTCTCAAATTATCTTGAAATTAAAAATATATAGCTGGTATGTCACATTACAGTATTTGTGCTTGGTTATAACTGTATACAAAACCACGTTTGTATTGAAATCAAACAATAATAATCATCTAAAGATGATTAGTACAGTTATCATCATTGAATAAGTTAACAAAACTAGCAATACAATAAAATTATCTGAAGCAATGTGCGATTCAAATAACAGTAAACGTACGGTAGTAAAGATAGCAAACAAGACAGCAAAGTGTGACCCTGACAACATTTACAAAGCTTCATGCACCTGCTTGATAATAAACAGCCGCGACCACAACAGAAGGGTTATTTAACCATTGTGTTTATACTCATTCGGGGGTCAAAATGACAGTGTTTTATAGGCATCACTTCTAGAATTTGAATTCAAATGCTTTCAAGTTTGACACAGTTAGTTATTTGGTCACTTTGCCCTTTTTACAAGTTCTGATATGTGAAGCCATGATTATTCGCACGTGTCATAGTTGTGGGGTTATTTAACGTTTACAAAAGCAGAGAATACGGGCAAGATGCTTAATTAAACTCATCCATACTTACGTATAGTCTGAGTATCTCCCGTTATTGAAAGCCCAGTCTCCTATAACATGCAGATTTATGCGATTACGCGTTTCAGCCAATCGGAGTCGAATTTACTAATTCGTGACGTCATTTCATTCCAAAATCAGGACTTACTGTTTGATCGGTCTATTCGAATGCAGTGTTTTGTAATACAACAATTACAGCCGGGCATATACAGGGTGTTCAAAAAAAAAAGGGAAACCCAACTTCAAATAATGAGTATGGACAGACGATATGTTTACTGGCTATTAAACTGGTATCATCTGAAAGCGTAATCTCTATGCGTTTCAATGATACTATGTTTAGGTTTTGTGAGTCATGCATCAGTCAGGATCATTGTCATGAAAACTGGATGCAAAAAGCAGTTGGTTCACTTATCATAAAAAAAAAACCACTGGGCATGGTGCGCCTATTGTTACGGAAATGTCTGTGAAATAGCTTGAATGTTAATCCTAATGGCACATTTAAATGGCACATTGTTTTGAGCGTGGATTTGTCAAAACGAGAAATTCATGACAAACAATACAATTTAGTTTTAAACCCAACCCGACTTTTTTTCTCTCTTTTTTTGGGGGTTTCTTTTATGCACTGGTGTCTTCTTCCTGAATACTAATTCTCATGCACACCATGCCTATTGTGTTCGACATGAAAGTGAACCAACTGCAATATTTCATCAAAATCTCATGACAGTGGCGCTCAGTGATGCATGACCCTGGAAATGTAAACAATGTGTCATTGAAAAGCATAGAGATTACACTTTCAGATGATATCAGTTAATAGCCAGTAAACATTTAGCCTGTCCATACTGGTTCTTCAAATTTGGGTTTCTTTTTATTGAAACAAACACTCAGTTGATCGATAAGACCTAGACAAGATTGCACGTATTGCGTAACATCAGAGCGCGTGACCACAACCTTTGTTGCTGTTTCAAGGTTTCTTGTATCCGTGTCTACAACGCGACAAGGGGGGAATAACCGAAGGCCCGATATAGAAAGCGCCTGCTGATTGATCAAAATCTAGAGGTCAAGATGCGGTTGTCTTGCATAATTAAACAGCGAATTTGCTCACCTATAATATACCATGGCTTTCGCCATGGTCTATTGCATAGACTACCTTACGTAAAACTGGCAGTGTACAATGAAGGTGCAGAGAAAAGTGTTCGGCGTTGGCTGAACGAATTTAGCTTTGTGAAATGGACTCGATAAGTAGAAGACCTGGCGATCACACTAACTCAGGTATGTATCCTACATACTTCGCGCAATACGCGCTTGTTTTGGTGCGCGCAAGCAGTGTGTCTTGCATTGGGTTGCAGGCCAGTACATAGGCCAACAATTGCCGATACACCTGCCGAATCACGATTTGCATGCCCTCAAATTCTCTGCTACTAGAACATTTCGTGGGCCATACATTTGAGGGGTTAAAAAAAAACGAGTAGAAGCCTGGAACAGAAATGCGAGCCTACTTTTTTACTTTGTATTTCTGTATAGTTTGGATGAAATTGGCCCTAAAATTGCTGTATTTAACAATGGAATGATAGGTATCCTTTTTAAAAAAAATGGCGATAGGCTTCAGGAGTACTTTTAGAGGTAATCATCTTTGGATTAAATTTGTTTCCAAAAGGTTGTTAAATAACCCCACCTTTCCCAAACAAATGGAACAGAAACTGAAAGATACTAAAAAAAGCTTTAACTTGATGCGTGTCTCAAACACCTTAGAGAGTTGAGAACTGTTCATGACTTTTGGAAGTGAGGTAATCATCATGGGGTCTATATGGCAGCTTATTTACTTGTCTGCAACCGTGGGAGCTCACACTAGTGGTCAGGAAGAGCGCCATCTGCGTTCTTTCACAGAGTTTACGAATCCAAGGCTTCGCGACCTCGTCTCGAGTCCAACATTCATGAATAATTCCTGCTACTTCCAAATCCTTCCAAAACTAACGGCCTTGCCTGACAAAACTGGTCTCAATATACAGCAAAAAAATTACCAATAATTGTTCAGTAGTCTGTCGAGCAATGGGACTAAAATCGTCGAAGCTCTTGCCTAAGCCACGAATTCGTAAACGCTCTATATACATGTATACACCCAGAGCTGAAATTGTTCAGAGTACTCCAGAGAAAAAACATATAATATAACAGGTAAACACCCCCCCCCCCTCCCAAACATAAATCAGCATGGCATAAGACCCATTCACACCAATAATGTCATTTATCTGTTAACGGGCTTGACTTTTTGCCTTTGCTGGGCTTGATAGGCCTCTAAATCAACATGACACTTCGAAATAAACATTATTGCTGCTTTTCAGTTCTGTTCTTGATTTGTCGCCGTTTCTATAATATACATTTCCCCTTAGGTGTACTCAAAACAAGGAAAACTGCATACAGACCACCGTAGTTGTGTTATTTGCGCTCATCCTTTTTATTTCACTTTTAGTGCATGTACGTCATTATTTGTTATCATTGATAAATTGTGTACGTGTTTTACTGCATATGTCTGTGTGTGTTCACCTTCAAGTTCATACACTGTAATGATCGCATGACAGCCGGTCTGTGGGTTTAAGGAACAAGATGGAAATTGTTTTGTGTCTGATCTTAGTGATTCTACATGCTCAGCCCATGTTTGGTAAGCGTATTTAATGTTTGTTTGGTTGTTTGTTTGTTTGTTTGTTTGGCTTCTTTTCAAGCTCATTTTTTTGTTATAATTATTTTTTTTGGGGGGAAGTCATAGTCTATTTGTTGGAAAATCTCTATTTCAACACCTAGGCAATATGAGAAGGGGATGTTAAATTAAAAATTGTAATATCTGTTAAGGTATCTGTTATCGCGACCCTAACATCATTTTTAACCAATACTCAAGCCTGTTTTAATGGGCTTTTTATGGTAAATGTGTTTGCATTTCACAGAGTGTTTTTCGGTTTCTACCTCAATTTGTCTGGTGCTATAGCTTACACACGCAGGGAGATCTTACCACGTACATAAACTTACTATTCCAGAATCATAATACGGCTCCCGACATTGCTGCAAACGAAGTCAAACTGAAGCTTAAGTTGCTGTGTTGAAAAAAATAGGTAGTTCAATAATGTATTCCAGAAGGAAATCTTCCATTTCGGCGAAGGAAATTGAAATGCATTTAATTTGTCCATGACATTTGACATCGTCGGAGGTATTTGTTTCTCTAAAAGGAGAGAGCACTTGGCCTTATGATCCTTTGTAGATTACTTACAATTCATATCTTGGCCGGTCAGTAATTAACCCTATAGTGCGAAGTTGACGATACAATGTAATTTCGAAAATTGTTGTTGTCAGGCTAAGCATCAAGGCCCATCTGAAGCCTCTGAATACTTCGCGGATCCAACACGGGGGTTCATCC